ATCAAAACATCTGGGCATCCCCTGGGCAATGTCCTTGCAGATGGCCAATTCTCTCACAAGAGAAGCAACTTGCAGTTTCTCAAGTCCCTCCTGACACGAGTAAAAAAAACTCCAACAACCATGCATTTCCCTGCAAGTACTCTGTTAGGAAAATGCTACAGGAAAGAGAAGGGAGATGTGGTTTTATGATATATAGATCTAGCTTCTTCATTGATGGCTTTCCCAGGGGTCTCCTCCTCTGGTACTGTAGAACATGGGATTTGAAGTAATATATTGCAAGTTTGTTCAATGTTCCTTGCTAGGTTTTAGTTTTTGAAATCCCAGCTGGTTGTATTTTCAGATTCCTGCTTGGGAAATGATGGATGTTTAAGATCTTTTGATTCTGCCAATATATGCTTCACAGACCTCTGTAGTCTCTATACACTTCTTTACACTTAGCTGAAAAGAAAAAGTCTTAGCTCGTTTTCATTCCTCATAACTCTCTGGACTTGTATGCCTACCCCACCCCTGCACTACAAAACAACAACAGCAGCAGCAACAACAACAACAACATGTTTTGGACTTCATTTCTGCAAAAGCAAAACAAAACAAAACAAAAAATAACCTCCACTTCATCCCAAAAGAAAACCAGTTTGCTTAGAATATTTCATTCAAATGTAAATCATTTACATTTGGCAAGGTAACAATTGTTATGAATTTAGAATTCCCCATCTTTTAAAGTTATTGATTCATTTTTATTTTATACCATGATTGTCAAGAGAGAGAGAGAGAGAGAGAGAGAGAGAGACCCAGAACTGGCAAGATCACTTTAGCATTCACACTCACAAACTTGGCAAAACATCTTTAGCATGTAATTGTCCCCATTTAAACCCTCTTCATGCTGTCAGATTGCTGTCAAATAGACAGTGTATAAATCAAATGCAGACTTCATACTATTAGTGAATAAGGCAGCATTGAGCTCCTAGTTACTGTGTGGGTGTGTTACAGTTTCAATAGTGTTTGCTTTTGATGCTTTAATGTTTACAGAAGAACTATCGTAGGCTTTTCAAAACTTATCTTCCAAAAGGGTGGAGGACAACATATTTAGGTGAAAGTAACCTAGTTTCTGCCTTTGTGTTTGCACTGAATGTAAAATCATTCTTCTACCACAAGTTACTACAGAGCAGATACAAATTTAGTGAGATCACAAGTTATGTTTGTTGCCCAAATCACTGTTTTTAATAATCCTTTAAGTGGAGAAATGAGCTATGTGTGTCACACAGGTTATCTTGTGTGTGTATTTGTTTTCAATTCAACTGTCAATTTGTGATGACCACATGGATTTCATGGATGTGAATTTTTCTGTGCCTAGACTGCAATAAAAGGACTATTGCGAGTACTTTAACACCATGCCTGCTTCTGCTTGAAGACTGTCATTTGGTGTTTACATTACTCACAGGACAGAGGAAAGGCTTTAGAGATGCATGCCACAGCTTATGCCATTTTTCTGCCAATGGGGGAGGAAAAAACTCCCATTGTTCACCCCACCCCACCCCATATCCCATGAGTAAGGTTTAACAAATATTGGATGTTGGATATTGCATTTGCAGTTGTGATATCACTGCAATGACTGTAATACTGCCCACTACAACTGATAATTAAAGCTTAAAAGCCACATAAAATACAATGTTCAGCTTCCGTTTCCCATAGTGAGGGAAGCTGAACATTGCTGTATCAAGCTCCCTCCTGCAAGTGATGTGGCAAGTAGTTGCAACAAAACCCCACAGGGGTCCCTACCCAGCTTTTCTAAATTCATATCCCAGTAGGAGAGAGCTGGATGCACCATTATTCAGGGATCTGTTCTCCAGTGCCTTAAAACTGCTTTGGTTGGTACAGTTGCCTGGCTTCAAAGGTGGGTTTTGGCATGTGAAATCACAATGCAGGATCTCAGTGATTTATTGTATTTATACACTACCCAAATATTTTGTTATAAAGGATGTGATATCCATATTGTAATACAGTAGAATCTCACTTATCCAACATAAACGGGCCAGCAGAATGTCAGATAAGCGAAAATAACGGATAAAAGGAAGGGATTAAGGAAAACCCTATTAAATGTCAAATTATGTTATGATTTTACAAATTAAGCACCAAAACATCATGTTTTACATCAAATCAACAGAAAAAGCAGTAACGTTATGTAGTAATTACTGTATTTATGAATTTAGCACCAAAACAGACAAGGGTTCTTTCTTTCTCCCACCCTGGACTGTATTGGATAATTCAGAACTGTGGATGAGCAAAGGTTGGATAAGCAAGACTCTACTGTACATACAAGTAAACAAAAATGTACATGTGTCCAGTGACAAGCAGCTGCCAAGAGAGCAAGAGCCATTTTCTGGATATGTATACAATGCATATATAGAGGCAGGGTTGGCTCCATTGGGTGCACCCAGTGCATGAGGTCCTAACTATGCCTAATAATGATTGAGATGCAACTGAAGGGCCACAGTTTGAGGATGCCTGGACTAAAGTTTCCAAAATCCCACAGCTAACATGGATTGGCCACCAGCTGAAGAAAAGAACTATTTCCAAGATGTGTTTTAAGGATGGTGGTAATGTGAATATTAACTGGCATTTCTGGTGGTATGGCCAGTAACATTAGCAGAAAGATTGGCATAGGGGTAGATGTTCCATCTTTTATAAGCATGTAGGCTGAGACATCAGCTTGTATTTAAATTTACCATGGAAGTTACACATCCAGTGAGTAAAAATTCCCGAAGCAAATAAATAAATAAATAAAACTGGTCATGGATGTACACACTATAGTTGGCCAGTGTAAAGCAAAACTTTGCAATCGGCTAAGCTTTGAATTGCGTAGGTGCTGAATTTCTCCTCTCCACAATGCTGTTAAAAGAAGCAGGAATTTTGAAAAAAAATGTGAGGAACTAAAAGAAAGCTTAAAAACTTTGACAGTAGTGAGGAATGTATACAGATTGTGTTTATCTAGGACAGAAAGAGCTACATAATGCAGTTAACACATACAGAAATAGTGCTTTCCTGTCTCCTTCATCCTGAAACCTGTCTTCTCTTAATCTACATGCAAGATCAGTTTCTGCTTAATTTAAGAACAAAAGTAAACTGGAATAAAGCAGCCTCCAACAATATGCCATCTGCTTTATTATTGCTTGCATTTGCTGAGAGTCAAAGTACTCTTGAAAATAAAGACCAGGCCAATCATCTTGTCAGTCTTGCACATAAAGAGGGAGCTTTTCAGTCTCGACCAGCAACATAAGCACTATTCACAGATTTCTCTCTAAACAAAGAGACTGACAAAAATACAAGGAGAGCGCCAATAGAGGAATTCTGGGTTTCATTTAACTGTTCAGTGGAATATGCTGCCTAGGTATGTGGTGTAGGCTCCTTCTCTGGAGGTTTTTAAACAGAGACTGGATGGCCATCAGGAGTGTTTTAATTGTGTATTCCTGCATGGCAGTGGGTTGGACTGCATGGACCTCATGATCTCATCTAACTTTATGGTTGCTCTAGAACAGAGCATGTACATTGCATGCAGAAAAGTACCACATGGCTCATGGGCTGCACTTTCCCCACCATGTGATGGAAGGAAGTGAGAAATTGTAGACTGGATAGGTTCGGATGGATCATCAAGTCCAGCCTGCTGCTCACTGAGGGATCTCCAGCTAGAGAATCCCCAGCAGGATGACATCCAGAGAATGAGACCTCACCACTTAACTAGGCAATTGGTTCCATCTCCTGAAACACAAGGCAGCAGGGAGTCAAATTTCATGTAGATGTCGAGGGAGGAAATCTGTGGTGAGCAAGGAGAGTGTGATAACTTTAGTGTGCATGCCATGAAATAAAAACAATAAGGTAATTCAAGTACATGGAAGAAGATATCTGCAAGTTTGTGCCTTTGAGAAAAAACTGTCAGTACTGGCTGGAGAGAAGGGGCAGGGGAGAGAAAAACCCAATCACTTCCTGATAGATGTATTTCTTCTAATAGATTTCTATCAGGGAATGTTGTCTTTGAGAGCTATCTTTGAGAGCTACTGACTTTGTCTTTGAGAGCTACTGACAATATTGGGTCAGACTGAGAAACAGTCTGACCGACCACCTCTTCACACGGGGCATTTTTGCCCCATTTTGTTGCTTTGCTTCATGGCAAGGATGGGGCCCTCTCCACTTTCCTCCCAAAGTCAGGGAGAAGCACCAAAAAGTGCTTCCTCCGTGACTGCAGGGAGGAAAGTGTATTTTGAGTAGCTCCAACAGAGCTACCCACACTTTCATCTCCTTTTTGCCATGTGATAGCCAAAAGGGCAGTGAGGCAATGCACATTGCTGCCCTTTCTGCCATTTGATGGGAGGAAGGAAAGGGTGCCAACCCCCCCCCCCAATCCCCTCTATGTGATGAGGGGAAGAAAGGGGGCATGCCCAATGCTAGGAGTCACCCCACATGCCTTCCCTTTTGCCTGCAATTGCCAGTGCAACAGCACAGCCCACAAGAGGTATGTGAATAGGTCCCTAGTATAACTTGATAGTTGTGGACAGAATAAAACTCTTCATTCTTTTTCTTCTTCAAATGAATCTTCTCATTCAGCATCTGTTTCCTTATTCAGCCGTTTGCATAGTAAGGAGAAGGAAAAGTATGTCTAGTCTTAAGTAGAATAATCTGGCTATCTTTTCCTTTCTCATAATCTTTCCTAAAATGTTACAGTGCAGAATGTTTTTCAGGCTGTAATACAAATTGTATGTTTAAAAAAAAACCAATGCTGAATAGTCATAGTTAGTGACAAAAGCATGAACACACAGGATTCCTTATCCAATTAAGAACATGAATTTCATGTAACCAGGTTGCAATTGTTCAGCAGGCCAAACCTCCAATTAGCAATAATTAGAGTAGCTACTGGGTACTAATGCTGTGAGTGGAACACAGCACATTGTACAGGAACCTGGTGACTTTCCCACAACATTTAACCTCCTTCCTAATCTTCCTTCTTGCAGCCCATGGGATCGGAGCGGATGGAGATGCGCAAGCGGCAGACATCTGTGTCCCAGGAGACACCGAGCTCCATACAAGCACAGCCTGGGGTAGGGAATCGAGGTTCCAACGCCTGCTGCTTCTGTTGGTGCTGTTGTTGCAGCTGCTCCTGGTATGCCTTTCAACCACATTCAGACTTCCCAAGGGTGGGAGGGAGAAAGATGACAACTAGTCACCATGGGAACATAAACATACACCCTTGGGTAATCAGACGAATGTTAGAAAACAGAGACGGGGAGGGAAGGAGGGAAGGAGGGAGGGATAATTGTTGCCTAGCTTCCTCTGGGTACCTATAATTCTTTTAATCCTATGGAACTGCATGCAGAGGCAAATGATACTGAAGCAATTAATATGCAGTCATATTTCTCAGCTACTTCTGCAGGCTGATTGGTTATAGAAATACAATCTAGACCCATCTGATTGAGAAGAAAGCACAATTGAGAGCTCAGTCCCTAGCACTTCTGAGGATCTCAAATAGAAAGTCCAAATGGGCTATTGTCTTGAAAAATGGATGAAGGTTCTTTATATTGTGAAGAAGAGCATGTAACCCTTCAGACTGTGTAGACTATAAATCCCATAGTCACCACTATTGATGGAGGGAATGGAGGTTGTCAAGATTCACATACAAATGCAGTAAGCACAGAAGCATTTAATAATGGCAAGGATAGTGTTCAGTTTATATTGCACAAATACATCAGTTGAGGATGGCCAGCAAAGTGTAGTGGTTTTGATGTTGGACTAAGACTCCATAGATTAATTGGTTGACTTTGAGCAAGAAGCACTCTCATCTTTGAAGAAGAGCAAACCTCCTCTGAAGAAACTTGCCAAGAAACCCTCATGATAAGCTCATCCTTAGAGTTGCTATGTCAGAAATGACTTCAAGGCATACCACCACAGCGAGATAGCCAAGAAAAAAGAAAGAAAGAACAAGCTGTCAAGCTGAATGAGTCAAATCACTGCTTCAACCTACACAAAGCAGAAAAGCCAACAACAGCGTTTATGCACGCGCAATCCAATTACGTCTTTGACATCTTCAAAAGGGACGCTTCTGCACATCATCTGTTTAAGAAGAAAACTGTTAAGGTGCAGATGCTGACATATTTGGGACGTACTCCATCAGGATTTAACATGGAACGTAATGTGCTTCCTGAGTATGGTTGATCTGTATAATCTACTGAGCACAGCATTTGCCCAAAAGCTATTGACATCAGTCAGAGTCATATCTGCAATCTGCGCCTAGCCATAGTTAGACATTTTAACAGAGGCTCTCCAATTAAAACCTAACGGCAGATTTTATAAGATTATAAGTGACATATGCATTAAAAGCATGGTTCTTTAAAGGAATTCCTAAAAGGAACAATGAGATGGTTGGGATGTGTGTTGCCCAAGGCCTATTCATGTAGCATCAGGTGTGTTTCAGCTCCAGGAACTACTTCATTTGTCCAGTGGTCTGGAAAATTCTTGTTATGCCTTAGGCACTAATATTCTATTAAGCATGCAAAGAAAGCACAGAAGGGCATGGGACCTCTCTCTCAAGGATGAGATCAGATCTAAGTACAGAAATGGATGGATGGATGCTATATTTATCATAATCTGGGGAGCAAAAAGAATTAAATGGGAAAAATGGGAAAAAATAGTTGAGGATTTTAACAGTTTTCCTAATACTGTCACTGCCTATATTTACTAATAATGTATTTCATGTGCATTTCTTTCTCCTATAGTGATGGGAAAGTAACACATATTTTTGCATAATGGGCACCTCTTTTTCCTTCCTGTATGTTGATATGAATATCACAGCGATGTTTTTTCCAAATTTCTCTTCAACTCCTGCTCTTTTTTGCTCCCAAAGATGTGCAACTCAGCACTAGTTAAGAAAAAAATAATTTTGTCAGAAAGATATTTGTAATGATTACAAGTGATGGTTTGCATTTCAAAGTAGCTTGGCATTACAGTGAAAGCAGAGTAACCTCATTTAACATTTAAAATAAATCATTCCTTCAAAGCAGATGTTCTAGTATAGGAAAATGTGAAACAAATTGCAATTTAATGCTCTATTTATAATCCTAGTTGAAAGAAAACATTTCCACAAATAACCTGAATGAGTTGAGGGGAGTGGGAGAGGGATGATGAATAGGAACAGAAATAGCATTCCAAGCAAGCTACACAGTCTCCAAAATCTGAAGCCCTTGGGGGGGGGGGGGGGGGGGGACCATTCAACAATTTTATTTAAAAACAAAACAAAACAAAGGGGGATGAACAGCCACCAGATGGGTTTTTGTTGGTCGAAGCCATAACTTCTGCTCCATACTGTCATCACTCGTTTAGGATCAATTAGACTTTTAGCTGGGCAATTATGATGAATGGCCATTCTTAAGTGGCTTTGGCATTGAAAAGGGCACAGCTGTCATTCTGAGAGGCATGACAAATGCACAATTTGAAAGCAGAGAAGGAACATGTTCTCCTTGTAATACTCTGCATGGGATTTCTCACACTTCCAAAAAAACCAACTGCCAATGGTAGTACAGGTAGCCTTTTAGGGGACGGACATGATTGAATAACTCCATTGGAACCCCACTCTACAATATTTTCATTCTCAGGATTGATCTTTCGCGTTAACCCATATTTTTCATAATACTGTTTAGCTCTGAATTCATCTTTGGACTCGAACCTGCCTAATCATGTATTGTGCTGTCTTCCTCTCCTCTTTTCAGTAGAACAAAAGTTAAAGGGAGGCTCCATCTTGTGCTTCTGTTTTACACCAGAGCCCCCAGTGGCACCATGGGTTAAACCTTTGTGCTGGCAGGACTGAAGACTGACAGGTCGGAGATTTGAATCCAGGGAGAGCACAGATGAGCTCCCTCTGTCAGCTCCAGCTCCCCATGCAGGGACATGAGAGAAGCCTCCCACATGGATAACACATCAAGACATCTGGTCAGGAGCAAAAAGCTTAAGTAAATAAATACTGTATATACTTGAGTATAAGCCTAGTTTTTTAGTCCCCCTTTTAGGCTGAAAAAGCCCCCCTCAGCTTAAACTGAGGTGAGGTCCTGGAAGGAAGGTGTGGAGCTGAAAGAAAGGTTCTGTACAGCAACCCAGCTCTCCTTCCTCTCCTCTTCTCTTGTGCAGCATGCACTTCCCTCTTCTCCTTTCTTGCACAGCCCACGCCTTCCTATCATCCTCTCTCAGCACAGTGCACACCTTCCTCTCCTCCTCTCTTGGTGCAGCACATGCTTTCTTCTCCTTTCTCGGCACCAATCTTTCCCACTTTTCATTATTCATATTCACACAGCATTTTCCCCAAAATGTATAGTTAAAATAAACTATGGGGTTATTGGAAGGATACATAAGCACATTTACATTGAAGAAGGTTAGACTAATGGTTTGATGAGAGTTGGACAGTCTTATCTTAAACTACAGTTTTATGTAAATATTCAAAAACATTTAACCTACTGATGTCTCAATTAATGTAATTGTATTGGCATCTGTTTTTATTTTGAAATTTACCAGTAGCTGTTGCATTTTCCACCTTGGGGTTCTACTCATGTAAATAAGTTTTCCCAGTCTTTTGTAGTAAAATTAGGTGCCTTGGTTTATATTCAGGTCAGCTTATACTCAAGTATATACAGTAGGTCTTGAGGTCCTGATGAGAGTTACATCATATAATCATTTGAACATTGGATTATGATTCTGGAGATCAGGGTTCGAATCTCCATGCAATCATGGAAAACCACTGAACAATTTTATCAAGAAAACCCAATGATGGGGTTTTCTCAGGGTTGCCATTAGTTGGAAAGAACTTGAAGGCACAATAACAACATCAACCAGGTTAAGGATTACCAAGGCAGTATCCCCACAGTGCTCACAGTTGTTGTGTTGACAAAAAATCCCTCACAATCTTTCAAAATGTAGAAAAAATGTTTTAAAGACCATAACTGATCTGGGATTACACAAAGGGTATGTGGAGGTGTAGCTTACATCTCCAGTTGACTTACATGCAAACCTCTGAATTTCATCAAGTTATATTAAGCTTGGAATATTCAGAAAGAATCCCTCATAAACAAAGCCTGCAGCCTCTGGAATTCCTTACACCTCCCAAATACTAACCTGGATGGATCTCGCTTAGCTTCCAAGACCAGAAAAGAGCTGTGGCCTTCAGAGTATTTTGCCTTCTAAAACATTTGGGGATTATTTTTATCCTTAGTTTTCAGCAACTTGCAAAAGGAATTGAAGCAGAGGTGGGACTCTTGCAGATGACTAAATAAGTTGTATATGTCCACTAGTCTTTGTCAGCAATGCATCTATGTAAAATTAATGCAGTTTGACACCACTGTCTGCCCTGGCTCAATGCTATAGAATCCCGTGACTTGTAGTTTTACAAGTGTTTTAGCCTTCTCTGCCAAAAAGTACTAGTTCCTCACCAGACTACAAATCCTAGGATTACATAGCATTGGGCTATGGCAGTTAAAGTGGTGTCAAAATGCATTAATTCTACAATGTAAAACCAGCCCAAATATCCAAAAGCTAAGACTGCATGTTCACTGGGATGCACAAATATTACATTTACATAAATGCCTTGACAATAGACTGAAAATGTCTTCTTTTAATGGAACCTCAGAGTATGACTTTAACATATAAGCAAGGTTGTCTGCATATTCAATTAAAAGCTGACTGTCTAAGAAACTAAACTGTGGTGTAACTAACACTAAGTTCAAAGGCATATAAAGGATTGTAGACTACCTCATGAATGTAATTAGGACATTTTATTACTTATATCTGTATGTTTTTGCTGCCTGTTTCATTCATGATGGAGTTATCTTCCTTGAATTTAGAAAATAGAAAACCTTGGGTACATTTAAGCTTACCTAAACCTCACTGACTAAATGGCATACCATAGCTAGGTTGGCATTTTTCTGTGATCATTGTCAAGTTAATCTGGAAAATCGATACAAGCAGGAGAAGGAATCCAGTTACCTTGGTCAGTCCACACCAGGAATACTATGTCTAATTCTGGGTAATGCAATTCAAAGGAGATGTTGACAGGCTGGAATGTGTCCAGAGAAGGGTGACTAAAATGATCAAGGGTCTGGAGAACAAGCCCTATGAGGAGTGGCTTAAAAAGCTGAGCATGTTTATCCTGCAGAAGAGAAGGCTGAAAGGAGACATGATGGCCATATTTAAATATGTGAGGAAAAGTCATAGGGAGGAGGGAGCAAACTTATTTTTTGCTGCCCTGGAGACTACAGAAAAGGAGATTCCACCTGAACATAAGAGGAACTTCCAAACGGTGAGAGCTGTTCAGCAGTGGAACTCTCTGCCCAGGAGTGTGGTGGAGGCTCCTTCTTTGGAGACTTTTAAACAGAGGCAAGATGGCCATTTGTTGGGGGTGCTTTGAATGTGATTTTCCTGCTTTTTGGCAGGTGGTTGGACTGGATGGCCCACAAGGTCTCTTCCAACTTTATGATTCTATAATTCTATGAAAAGATGCTGGCAATTGGACGTGAAAGTAGATGTTTCTTCTTTAATATGCCAGCCCATTAAGACTAGGGAAGGAAAGGAATATTATTCAACTCATCAATCTTGATAAAGGGGATTTTGGGGAAATAAAATGTGCACAAAACAATGCACAATTTTACAACGTAAATGGCAAAAATGTTTCATAATTGGGGAAAACATCCAGAAGCATACATTGCAAAACTTTCTCTTTTATGTTAATTTGATATGTGCAGACAATTAAATGCACACATTAAAATGTTCTTCAATTTCAATACAATAAGAAAACATAAATCTAGTAACTAGGTATAAGACAAGGAAGGGAGGCAACTGTTGCTAAGATTCAGAGACACTCAACACAAGGGAGGTGGAGAGACTTGCATACCCCAAGTTACGACCTTCTGCTAAAGAGCTTCAAAATATCATTCAATGCTTTTTCACACTATAATATTCAGATGCCAGTACCTATTTCCCTGGAGTGTAAAGAAATATGGATTTGCCACAGCTGTCTATGAGTTAAATATAGAGCAGCAGATGGACGCCTTAGATACAGAAACCCCAGGTGTGTAGTTGTTTAGCTCAGAGCTTGGAAAAGTAACTGGCTGGGGGATTTTGTCAGGTATGGTTCAAAGAAGCAATTTTCAAAATATATTCCACTGTGAGGTTTAGCACACACCTTTGGGCAAGTTGCTGTTTTTAGGTATAGCCTTGTGAAGCAAAGATCCCAGTTTGAAGACACAGCACAGGAGACTTGTGATGGAAATTTCCACCAACATTTATTTTTAGTTGCAGATCTCATTTTGATTGCTGCAGCAATACTGTGCTTCCTTCTTCATCCAAATCAGAAGTGGATTGGCGTGGCTTTCCATGTGTGAATAAACTTCATTTCCCAGGATTCACAGCCAGTAATTCATCAACATCTGGAGAGCTTCATACCATGTTTTTAAATCTTATAAGCTGCTAATAGCCTCAGTGTGTTTATGAAGGGCTTCTAACAAAGCTTTGTGAATATATATTTTTGGATTCCTAGAATTCTTCCAATCAGTATGGACATTAGGCATTGTAGTCCAAAATAGTAACTTTCCCAAGCTCTAAATAACCTGGTTAGTTGGGAATGCTAGCTGAGAATATTAGATGGGGAAAGAAAGAAAAGGAGTGAGTTTTAGATGATGATGATGAAATAATGACACTGTAGAGAAAAGTTAAGCACACCAAGATGGTTTTTATCATAAATCCAGATTTCCTTTTAAAGTAAGCTGATTCAGGTGATCCAGTGAGAGATATTCCAATGAGATACTCCATCTACTTTCATCCTCAGCCTTTGAGAGAATGCAAGGGGAATATAGTTTACCCCATATCCATAGGGGATATGTTCCTTAACTTACCATGGTAATAAAAATATATCATGGATAATAGTGAACCTTATGAAATGAATGACTATCATAAGTTGTCATATGGTCATGCCGGAGAACCTAGAAAGTTCCTAGAGTGAATATATTTTGCCAGATGTGGATAGGTGAAATCATGGATACAGGAGATCCTACTATATAATATAAGCATTGCCCTAAATCTAACTATCCCAACTAAAATGAATCTCTTTCAGAAATACTTTAGTTGTGTCTTCTTTGTTGCACTGTGAGGGTTGGTGCACACCTTTGGACAAGTTGCTTTTGAGGTCTTTCCCCACTGTAAGTTTCTATGACTCTGGAACAGATCAGCTGAATAAACCCATGAAAGTATTGGTAGGTTAGTGTTTATGTAAGTTCCATTGATTCAGTGAGTGTATTGGGAACTAAGCATTTCATTTAGGCCATGACAGAAGGTGTGCAGCCTTTTAGATGTTGCTAGGCTGAAATTCACAGACACCTTTAGTCATACAGTCAATTATTATGAATGCTGGAAGCTGCAGTTCAACGCTACAGAGATACACAATTCCCATATCTGAGTTTGATTTAGAAAGCTAGCATCCTGACTTCTTAGAGGACCTGCTTTCAAATGATTATGCAATTCCAAATATCTTTGGCAAGACCGAGTGTGCAGCATGAGCTAACTTCCATGAGAAGGCTTCTTCATTCATTTAAATAGAAAATGCTTGGAAAAGTAGGATATACAGGCAGTTACCATGTCCACAGAGATTGTGATGACAAAACCTTAACATCATCTGAGTTCTGGCAATGCCATGGTATTCATTGTCAACAGGAAGTCAGGCTGATCAGGTGGTTTGAGCATTAGACTACAACTCTGGGAACCAAGGATTGAATCCCTTTCCACTATGGCAACTCACTGAATGATGAAGTCACACACCCTTCAGCCTCAGAGATAGGCAAAGGCAAATCCCCATTGCCTGCCTCTGGGGAAATTTGGTAAGAAGACCTTCCCTGTTTTGTCACTCTGTTTAATGGAATGGAGGCCCAGTTAGTGCCTGCATTAATAGACATGAAATCTGGGGGGAAAATCCAAGCGTCAGTAAATTGCAAGTCATTTCAGCTTGATCACATTACATGTCATACTTTGCAAGTGGTTTATTATTTTAGCTTGATGAAGCAATGTTTTTATTTTGTAGTCTCACTGTTCGGAATCAAGATGAAAGAACAAGAGCAGCATCACATGAACTCAGATCAGAAACCACTGCAAATTGTGAAGAAAGGTAGGCTAAACCGGCATGATTTATGGTGGCTGAACAGTAGGTCGGGGAGACTGTGCCATTTGGATATCGCACAATGTTCAGATTCTCAGCTTCATTTCTTTTCTTTTTTAAAAAAAACCCTAAGATGTCAGCATTTGCAACCATTGTTTCCCTATTTTGCCTATTTCTTGCATGAGAAACTAGACTGCATCTGTTTTTCAGTGTCTTTAGACAATGTGTGAAATCACTGCAAAAGTTGGACACCATCTGGAGAAAAAAGAGCCCCTTTGTTCATTTTTAAGTCTTTGTGAAAGGGTATGAGCAAGATCTTTTGTAACTGAAAGTGATTGCTTCTCTGTTTCTCCCTCCCTCTCTTATATGCAAACAGCAATCTAAGATTTTAGTGGACAGTAAAAGAAAAGGTAGAAAAGAGATGGGATTTCATGGTCTAAGTTGGAGCCCTCAGTGGCGCAATGGGCTAAACTGTTGTGCTGGCAGGACTGTTGAATCTGGGGAGAGTGGGTAGAGCTCCCTCTGTCAGCTCCAGCTCCCCATGCGGGGACATGAGAGAAGCCTCCCACAAGGATGGTAAAACATCAAACATCCGGGCGCCCCCTGGGCAATGTCCTTGCAGATAGCCAATTCTCTCACAGCAGAAGCAACTTGCAGTTCCTTAAGTTGTTACTGACACAAAAAATGGTCTAAGTAGTTTCCAATGAGATAAGTAGGTAGGTAAGTAGATAATGTCCCAGTTCTGCATGTGCAAAGTTAAGGGCTATTGTGTGCCTATTATACGAGCAGCTCTGTGACCGAGATTCCATGGGTTCTTCTGGTTCTGCAAAGTATCCAAGTATACACAAATCCTGCCATGATGTCCATGGATTTTCTTCTGGTTCTTGTGTGTGTGTGTGTTGTTTTTAAAGCAATGCACAATGATATAAGCTCTGAAGCTGACAAAAGCAACAGCAGTGCAATTTAGTAAGCCCTACATGGATTTGTATGGGCATATAAGTTTAAGAGAACCTCCAAGTTTTAGTTTCTGCAAGTAGCCTGAAGAGTCATGCCGGCCACATGACCTAGGAGGTGTCTACAGACAATGCCAGCTCTTTGGCTTAGAAATGGAGATGAGCACCAACCCCCAGAGTCAGACATGACTGGACTTCATGTCAGGGGAAAACTTTTACCTTAAACAGGTGGTGGAGGAGGAGGAGGAGGAAGAGGGGAAGGAGGAGGAGGGGAAGGAGGAGAAGAGGAGGAACAGAACGGAAAGGAAAGAAAGTTGGTTGCAGTAGTAACAGTTCTCTACTCTATTGACACATTTCTATAGGCAGTACAAAGAGATGTAGATCATGTACTACAGGTTACTCACAACTGGACATGTTGAACTTCTTCATAAACAGATCCTCTTTGCTTCCTGCTGAACATTGAAAGTTTTAGCACTTCCTATTTCTAACAGGATTAAATATGTGACACTTTTTTTTGTTACAATATGGGAAGACATTCAACTTGCACTGAGTTAATGTAACTTTCCCATTTCTACGAATCACCCAAAATTGAGTTTCACATGTCTAAGTTTAGTGATTCTTGTGCTAATATTATCCCTTCTCTTAAAGCTCCACTCCTACTCTGGAAGAAGTGGACACTTGGGCCCAGTCCTTTGACAAACTGATGAAAACCCCAGCAGGGAGAAATGCTTTCAGGGAGTTCCTTCGGACAGAATTCAGTGAAGAGAACATGCTTTTCTGGATGGCCTGTGAAGACTTAAAACGGGAATCCAATAAGAGTGTCATTGAAGAGAAAACAAGACTAATATATGAAGATTATATTTCTATCCTCTCTCCAAAAGAGGTTTGTAATATCTTTCAAAGCTATAACTAAAAAAAATAAAGCAAGGGTCTTAGATGAAACACTGAATACTCAAAGATGCTTCTTTGCTGCTTTAAAAGGAAAGAGTTTTCTTCTAAGATTTGTTATTCTTCTTCATTAGTTTTTAAAAGGCAATGTGACTTCATCAAAAGCCCAGCCTATAGAGCAGTGGCTACCAACCAGAACACCTTGACCGGGGACCACTTGAACAGGGACCACTTTGATCAGGGCCCCTCTCCAACATTAGTACCAAAAGGGTTACGAATCAGTTTTTGGTCAACTGTAGATTTGGTTTGGTTATTTGGGCTGCTGATTCAGAAAATTGCATTGGAAAGACCACATCAGCTCTAGTTTCTGATACAGAACATATGTCATCTAGTAGTCGCCATCTGCTTGCCCATAGAAAACCATATTTAATAATCTAGAGCAGTGGACCTTATTGTAGGTCTCGCTACCCACCAGTGGGCTGTGGCCCGTAGGTTAGGAACCACTGATATAGAGTAAAAAGAAAATTAATCCTTCATCTACCTTTTCATTGCACACAAAGGCTTTGTGACATAGAGCATTTGTTTTCTGCTTAGAATACAGGGTCCTTCAACATCGGTCTTAACACATTGAGTGGTTTGAGCTGTCTTGATTACTGAAGTGGGAAGCAAAATGTTGACTTTCTCACATATAGAGACTGGCAGAGGAGGAATACCAAATGTGACAGATGCTGGTCCCCAGAAAAGGAAAATATAGCTGCTGCRCCCTTGCCTACCTGCTCCTCCCCCCCCCCCCCAATACACACACATATCTATATGGAGGAGGCAGATGAGGAGGGTGCGGTGATGGTAACCTAGAAGAAATGAGACAATAACAACCAGGTCTGAATATTTGCCATCAGCAGCACTTCCTGAATGCCTAGCTATTAAATATTACATTGATTTCACAGTCTACTAGGTAGCACGAGAGGTAACTAGGCTCTGTGGTAGTGGGATTGGTATCTAAGCAAACTGCCTCTGTCGAGTCCACATCTTCTTTCACTAGCAGCCAGCTCTGGAGAACTTCATGGCTCATCAGGACACTCRAGAATGGCAAGAACCCTGCTACCAGGTTACCAGGTGTTGAAGGTGAAAATAAGGGACACTTTGGGAAGTGACAATCCTGCTCCCTTTCTCCCCCCCCCCCCTTGATTGGCCATGTCCCTCCTTCCCACTAAACAATAAAACTGAATGTGTTGGGTTAAAAATGTTATTAGGGTAAGAAAAGACTGTTGAGACAGGAACATATCCATGTCAAAGGGACTGGAAAACACTTAGGTTCTCAATTAGTCCAGTTAAGCCAGTGCAGTTCAGTTATGACAATTTCAGATCTTTTCCTTGCTTTAGTGCATGGGTCCCCAAACTAAGGCCCATAGGGTAGATGGGGTTCTCCAAGGGCACGTAGCTGGATCTTGCCCTAAATTTTAGACTAAGGGTCACCCTCAGTCTGAAACAACTTGAAGGTACACAACAATCCTAATTAACTTGATTATCTCATCAGCCAAAAGCATACCATTTCCCATTGAAATACTGCAGTTTGTGTTGGTTAAAATTGTTCTACATTTTAAATATTGTATTGTTTTTGTTTTGTTTTTGGACTACAAATTAGATATGTACAGTGTGCATAGGAATTTGTTCATTTTTTTTTCAAACTATAGTCTGGCCTCCCCAACAGTCTGAGGAATTGCGAACTGGCCCTTTGTTTAATAAGTTTGGGGACCCTGGATTTAGTATAAAGAAGGGTGTTCTTGTGTGTTATTAACATGTTTCCACTATTCACAGGTCAGCCTAGACTCCAGAGTAAGAGAAGTTATCAACAGGAACATGTTGGAGCCATCGCAACATACTTTTGATGATGCACAGCTCCAGATTTACACTTTGATGCACAGAGACTCCTACCCTCGGTTTATGAACTCTGCTATTTATAAGGACTTAATTGAGTCTCTCTCCAAAAAATCTGCTGAAGCATAGAATTTTCATATATTTATTGTACACCTACTCACTCCCCATAAACAAATCTTCAAGGTACCATTTGTTACACACAATTTAGAATCAATGATTTCATTTTCTGAAAAAACAAACAAACATAAAATGCATATTTTAATATGGTTTTCAAGGCGTTCCAAGATTTTGTGAACCACAAGCTGTTTCCAGCCTCTTCAGAGCTATACTGAAACATAGTGACAGAGCATATGGAGAAGGTGGCAACAAAAATTGGGGCAGCACATTTAGCCAAGGGCTTTAAAATGAATAGATCAACCAAAAGGAAGAGGACAGTTAGTTACTATCTCCTCTCCCTGTTCACATCAGAGCACTTTATAGCAATTGTAAGGTTACAGTAGTTGTATTGTTGGAATTAGGCTTAAACTGGTGTGTATGTGTATCTTCATACTCTGACCTAGAAATACTCTCAAGGGATCATAAAATAAATTAGTTTAAGTATTTGGAGGGGGGGGGCACAATATGCTCTGCACACTCAAATGACTACTGGATTGCACTTACTGGCTATTTATCCTACCCCCCAAATCCCCTATCCTATATGCACTGAGAAAAAGTTTATTCCTGGAATTCACACCTAGGAGAACAGTCATCTTCTATTGGAGTCAGCTGGCATTTTCTTCCAATGCAAATGGAATTGCAACCTTTCTTGGACATGAACGGCATGCTTGTTACTGACTTCAAAACAGAGACAAGGAAGGATATTTTACAAAGAAGGCCACTGGTTTCAGCACATGCTGCCTATCAAGTGTTATTTATTACTAGAATCTGTGGAATGCATTTTAACAGATGTGTTGTTTCTAGACAAATCAAAGCACTTAGAAAAAGAGCTGGGCATTTGGTCCTTTAAATAAAACAGAAAACACATATTTTTGGCTGTTTTCATTCCATAAATGTGCTTGTATGTTAACCCATTCTATAGAAGTGCCATTATTCTGTGTATAATAATCAGAATCATTATTTGACTTAGAATGGATTCCAGTAAATAGATTTGGTCAGTTTAATTTCTGCCAGTCAAAAGATGAAGCAGCTGTCTATTAAAGAAAAATACCGGGAAATCACTGAAAATAACAGATTGGGACCTTTTCTATGACTATGAAAAAAATAGAAGAATGAAATATACAGAGAAGATGTAAGTAAAATAACAAAGTAAAGGATGAGAAGAACCTGAGGCTGGAATGGAAGTCAACTCCCCCCCCCCCCTTCTTGTTTTTTTCTTTTACCCCTTTCCTACTTTGCTATCTTCTTTTGAATATTTCCCCTCTTTCCATGTATGCATACTTAAACTTAATTAAAAAAAGAAAAAAAGAAAAAAGATGAAGCAGCTGAAACCACATCTTGTAGTATTGCTCTTTTGAGGACAATACAGTTCCCGTGGTTTAAAAAAATATATAGTTGAGAATTTTTCAAATTTTCTAAATGCAAAGCCTGGCTTTTGAAAAATTCAAACCCACTGAAAACTATCAGCAATACATTCCCTCCCAGAGAGAGCACTGTATCCATTTCCAGTCTACAGTTCTGCACAACACACCAATCCAAACAGGAGTTAATATGTACAAGGAGAGAGTAGACGGTACATGGTAGTGAAATCAATATATCGTCGAATATAATCTCACCCAATGGCTTCATGTAGATGTTAAATAACATCGGGGACAATACTGAACCCTGAGGGACTCCACAAGACAATGGTTGTGGAGTTGACCACTTGTCACCCAGTAACACCTTTTGGGACCGTCCCTCCAGGAAAGACTTGAGCCACTGCAAAGCAGTACCTTCAAGTCCCATTCCTGCGAGGCGTCTCAGAAGGATACCGTGGTCAATGGTATCGAAGGCCGCTGAGAGGTCCAGCAGAACCGACAGGGACACACTCCCCATGTCTAGCTCTCAACGTAGATCGTCTACTAAGGCAACCAAGGCTGTTTCAGTTCCATGTCCCGGCTTGAAGCCAGACTGTGCCAGATCTAGATAATCGGTGTCTATCAAGAGCCCCTGGAGTTGCAAAGCCACCACATGTTCCATTACTTTGTCCAAATAGGGAAGGTTGGAAACTGGCCAATAGTTGACTAATGGGGTCCAGTGATGGTTTTCTCAACAGTGGTTTTATAACAGCCTGCTTTAGGCTGGCTGGAATCTTGCCCTCCTGTAAGGAGGCATTAACCACCACCTTAACCCACTCTGTCAACCCCCCCTGGCTTCTTTTATCAGCCAGGATGGGCAGGGTTCTAGGATGCATGTGGTAGGCCTCGCTTCTCCAAGGATCTTGTCCACATCCTTGAGCTGAACCAACTGAAATAAATCCAATAAAACCAGACAAGTAGATGCTCGTGTTACATCCTTAGAAACTGTCGTTAACATGGTGTTGAAGTCAGAAAGCATCAGAGTGACTTTGTCCGCAAAGAACCGAGCAAATGCTTCACAGCGATCTGCCGAGTTGTCAGGGATCTCGCTCTGAGGTGGATTTAATAGTCCTCTGACAACTTGGAACAGCTCAGCTGGATGGTTGACACAATACTGACCAAAAGAAATGTTTTCTGTGCGGCCTTTATTGTCATAGGTCCTTAAAAAGGTGCCCAGGCGTGCTCGAGACAATCCGCCATGCTTCCGCCGCCACACACACTCTAACCTCCTCTTCTTTCACTTCATCGCTGCCAGCTCCTCAGTGAACCAAGGAACTGGTTTAGCTCAGTTACTCGAGAGGGGTCGTACTGGAGCTGGGTGAAAAAATTATGTTTCTTCATCTTCGTCCTCAGCACAAGCCATGGCACCTTCCTGAGTTCCCTTGATTCCCAAAACTAACGAGGTAGGCAGTTGTAGGTTATGAACTTGAAACTTTATGGGGAACCTACATCCTAACTAACTTATGAAAACACCTCACCTTTCAATTGAAGAGAAAAAAATATGAAAGGAAATTAGAGGGGTAACAAAAAGAGGGAATCAAAGAGAAGCGCAATAGAGAAGTTTGAGACTTTATATAACTAAAGTGTGACAGAAGACACCAGGATCGCATAGTCTACTTACAAAGTATTTTATGACCATACAAAAGAAAAGGATAGTAAGAGCAAATGTGAAAGTTTAGAGGAAAGCAATAAACAGAAGGATCTGACATGCAAAACATCCTGTTCTATCTAAAACCCCTGTTACTCTAATAGGGTAGGTGGGAAGGTGCTGGAAATTTTCAATAAACTCAGTAAAATATTTTGCAATTCAAAGAGTTTGTTTGCCATCACAATGGTAAGTTGCTGCCCAATTACTCCTCTTACATTGCAAGTACATGGCAGACCAATTTCCGTTCACAAAGAATGAATATGGTTCTAAATGCACATCTATTAGAAGCAAGAGCCCAAGCGCACATTAATACCCAACATTAGCAGAGGTGGATTTTTTTTCTCCACATCCCTTTTGCCACAGTTCTCTATGGCATGGAAAATGAGATCCTGAGGATTTCTCAGCCAGGCTGCCCCCACAAAACATGTTGGTAGGATGCACTAGATGATGCAGAAATGAGGCACAGTCATAGAAATAGTTACCTAATGGAAATAAACAACTGGATTTTGGGCAGTCATTCATAGACTAAAATTTGAATTCATATCTTTACTCTGGAGTTGTTACACCATCACCATTATCAGCCTCTCCATTTGTAAAGTGAAAGCATAAAAATTCCATGATAGCCATGAAGTCAATAAAAAGGAATGCATTACAAGCAGTCTGGCAGTTATTTCAAAGAACCATGTAAGTTCAATAATTAGATCTTAAGAGTGAAAGCCATGCATCTTGTTCATAAGCTCCAGAAGAGAAGTGATTCTAGTTTAAACAGGTAAAAGAACCATTGTAATAATTCCATTGCTAAGGCTTTCAGCAAATTTGATACTGGAAAAGCCCCTTTAAAATTTTTCATTTAACATTTTGCAGGCAGATATATATTTACCAGAATAATAAGTAAAGTCTAATGTCATAGAATCAATATACCCCAGGGTTTGGAGAGTGGAAGCTGTTATTACCTCAAGCTTGGCATTTATCAAGCAGCAAGACACCCATTAGCAACTTTGCAACATTATATTCCCTTGACATTATCCACTAGATTCCTGCCCTTTATCTATCAATAACTTCCTGAGAGCATTTATATTGTCCAGGTATTCTTTTTATTACACAGTATTAAAATAATATGGACACTTCTAACTAGGGCAGCCCATTGATCCTAATCACAAGAGTTTAGCTTAGTTACCTTGTAATTCTTGGCTTCATTAGCAAAAGTAACAATACAAGTAAATATAACCTGAGATGGTATGAAGGTTTACAAAATGCATTCAACTGCTGTAATATAGACCTAGATCACTTTAGGCTAAAAAAAGCAAAAGAACTAAGAGACTATTTAAGGCATTTTTAAAGCATTGTTAACAGGTAACCTGAAGGCACAATATACATGTCTCTCATTGTCTCTCAATCCAGTAAAAACTATGATCACCTCTCAAGATGTCCTATAAATGTACGCAAACATATTCAGGGGTGAATATGTTTGCTATGAAGCAAAAATGAAGCCAAACAAACAAAAAACAAAACCCCAAAAGCTTGACATTATTATTTTTAAGAACTGTTAATGGGAATTTCTTATGCAGGACTAGGTTAAGAATCAGATGACTGCATTTTTTCTCTTCCAGTTTTGTAAGAATGAATGTTTCATGTTAATCTGACACTATGGAAAACTAGAAGAGACAAAATAATCAATGTTGGGAAACGAGAGACACCCCCCCCCACCCCCCAGGATCTTAAAATTTGGGCTAGAGCTGGGAGGTCTTTGCACAATTTAGTGCCTTCCCCAAGTAAAGGATATTGGAGATTGGATGACAATTTTCAAGTGTGGTGGTGTTCAGGAAGGATCACCCCCACCTAGTCATGGCCTTGCCACAGGTTCTTGCAAACAGAGTGGAAAGTAGCTTCACCTCTGTGAGGCATTCATTAAATCCCTTAACCACTTGACCAGTCTTCCTTTGGCTGCTTTTAAGAGCCAGGAAGTGCGTGGATCCAGTACACACGTAGTTCCTATCTCTCCAGGAATTCTGTCTATATACTCAGGTTGCACAAACTGAAATGTAACCAAGCAGGGGTCAAGATTACATCCATTGCACTTGCATAAAATACAACATTCAGGTCAGAGCAGATTGAAGTGATTTTGTTTGCACTTAAGACACTTGGACCCAAATTATGCTAAAATAATAATCAAAATCTTCTTAATTCTGCTATAGGAACAGTTGTTTCAGATAGAGGTAAATGTATTGTCAGATGCTCATTAAGATAATTTAAACCACTAATATATGCACTGTTACCCAAGGTTATCTCATACCTAATTTTTAAAGTTGCCAGAAGCTACAAAGCACAACAGCTGGTGCTTTAAGAACATAATAACCATATTAATTTCCTCAATCAGACTAATCTTCCATCTACTCAATTACTCTCTTCTTAAGAGTGAAAAATCCTGACAAGCTCACATGCAAGGGCATGATGGGGATCTGATAATGAGTAGAAATGAGCAATGCTTATCAGACATAGTCTGCAATTATCATGTCTATGGCAATAAATGTACAAAAAAGTAAATTATCTAGTAAATAAAAGCTTCTTTAGAATGAAGAGAAATGCCCTTTCAACTGATTCAGTGAAGATATCATTCTAAATATCATGCTAATAAAGGTTTGCAGAGGAAACAAAAAGTCTTCCACATACAACTCAGATAAGATACTATTTTCTGAAACTAAATTCTTAAATAAACACATAAACACTAAAGTTCCTTACTTTGTTAATATTTTTCCAGTGTTGTAAAGGTAATGTTTGAGAAATCTTTTAACAAAATTCCACCAAACCAGGTGGTGAAAAAAACACAATTTTATTTCTGACCTCTGGGGTCCAGGAAGCAGTGGTTTTACATGTAAAAAATGTATTAAAAGAGTTCATATGAACTGAGATATATAGCAATTATTAAATTTAAACCTCCAAGCTAGGCAGCACACAACAGAATAGCATAATCAATTTGCAGAATATACAGTGAATTAGGGAATCTAGAATATAAAAGAGAAAAAAACATTAAGATCAAACCAACCATTTAGGAATGTCTCTAGAAATAAGGACAAAATATTCCTACCATGCTTTAAGGCTGCACAATAGATCTGCCATTTGAGTTGAGTAAAGCATGTTTCAAATGTAATTTAACAGGAGGCCACGCATATTATAAAGCATTGGATCTCTGAAAGCTCTAAAAGGCGAATGCAGAAAAGGTTTATACAAATGGGTCACCCACATATAATGTAGTTTCTTACATTAGTGTAATTCAAAACAATTGGCTCTCACACACCAAAATGGTTAAAAAGGAATATATTTTTGAATTGTGAATTCTGTTCTATAAGAAAACATTTCAGTGGGTATGCCAAATGGAAAAAGATAGACAACACTCTGCTCACAACATTAAGAAAAAAGCAGTTACCCAAATATCATTGATAAAAGTTTAATGTAGACTTGCTTATAAAAATGGGTGTTGAGGGAGAAAAGAAAAGGAAGAAATTACACCATACATGAGCATCCTGGCTCTACTGACTATTAACTACTGGGACTGATGTGCCAAAAACAGAATCTAACTTCAAAGGTGTTTGGTTAAAAGGGAAAGCAAAAAAAAGAAAGAAAAAAAAAAGGCTTTTGCAGGAAGCTAGATGCATGGCCTAGTTCTTAAAGCTAATTATAAAATCGTCTTTCATACTGGTCCAGGTTTAAACAATTTCTTCTTCTAGCAGAACTGTAAAAAAAGAAGAAAAGGAAATGTTCACGAGAGTTATACATATAGTTATGTCTACATCATTATTTTTGCAAATAAAGACCTTCGGTTTTTTGAAATACTTCTTTATCCACCCTTGAAACCTTGCAGAACCTTTCCCCTTCCACCTGCCCTATTTTCATCATGAACTACATACATGGAAACCACAATCATTAGGCCTTTTGCAAGCATGACAGAATGAAAATTTTGCTGGGCAGTTTATGGTCAGTTTTTAGACATTTGAACCACCTTAAAAAAAAAGTATGTATGGTAGCAATGGGGGAGAAAGGGGTTTTATTATTATTTAATGTACTAGAGCTTGATTGTCCATGGTATTGAAAACTTTATGGTCTGAGATCAAGTTTTATTTATATATTCATATTTTAAAATAGATGTTTAAACAGTCTATTTCATTACTGTCTCAATTTTGACATTTCCTTTGTAGATGTAACAGTTCAGGCAATACCCTATATACTACCATATAAGTGTAGAAATTTTAACCAAAAGATCAAGCTACAAAACCTGAGTAGACTTATCCATAGGTCAATGTGAATACTGTATCTTAAGCTCTGATTAAATATGGAACCACCCCTTTCTCTGACTAGAAAGGCAAAAGGCAACAGCTTAGTCCATCCTTAGAAACCTAAAAGAAGCACTGATCTCCTCTACTCTCTGTTGTGGTGCTGCTTCTGTCGTTTTTAATGTCTGGGTGGTGGCTGGATCATGCTTTCCCCTCTCTGTGGAATGACCACTGACTTATCACAACTCATATCAAAATCAATCATTCAGGCCCTCAGACCTGCCCTGGACTTAAATATGAAGTCAATTTATACAGGAGTGTATGTGGTAATTCCTTTGCTCTGCTGGAATCAGGCCCAGAATCTAATTCAGTCTCTGTTTCCAGCTGGGCCTACTAAATTGTTCTAAGAAAGTCATGGAGACATTTTCCCTCCACTCAATCAAAATTTATAAAATAGTCAACGATATCTGACCATATTCCAATGACAGTATTTGACTTGTCAACAATCTGGCATCCAAGTCTTTACCTCTTTTTACATTTACGCTGCAACACATACAATTCCTGAATAAATATCTTTGATTAAAAATACACTAATAAAACAGAAAATACAGAAACTACCTTTGTATTAGAAGGTAGTCTGCTATACAGAAGATAAAAAATATTAGTTCTTTTACCTTCCATCTGTTTCCACATTCATTACATACAACAAACGTTGTCATAGGTTCATCAGCACTTCGAGTCTGAACCTAAAGAAAACAGAGGCAAACAGGCATATTTGATTAATATTAGTGTATGAGTGGTCAATGCAATATTATGTTATTCCTGACAGATTGAAATTCTATGCCTGTTTCTTCTGGAGCAATTGTATTCCCAAAGGCATAATTTACTAAATGTCCTTAATACTGTATACTAAATCGAATGCAACTCAGTATTAAAGTTTTAATGCTAACTCGCAACACATTCTGAGAATCTTGTTGGCTTTGTCACTTTAGTGCTGACATGCACTCCTCTTGGAGTTCTGACTCACATCAATCCTAGTTTAATTCTAGCACAATTTAAAAAAAGACTTTTTAAGTAAAGCTGATGTATTCAAAAATATGGAATATTTCAGGAGCAGAGGTTGCTGCTCTTCTGTGTTTTAGAGGATCTTCCTAAAGTGCTCTAAATAAATGTAAATAGTATATGCATCTTATGCCACAATCCAAATGTCCAGACTTTGTATTTACTGTTCCAGTCAGATGGTGTCCTCCAAGATTTTGACATTATTGTGCACTTATGTACTTCTTTCAATAGATCATTTATATTTCATTCACACTGCTATTCATCTAATATATCAAGGCAAATTGTGGCCTTCCAACTACTGCTGGCTTGCAGAACCCATAATATTGCACCACTGTTATGCTAACTAGAACAGTTGAAAGCTGCTGCTCATCAGTTAGAAGACTACAAATTGTCTGTCTGGTACTGCAACAGATAAAAAACCCTCTCTGTAACAAAAATAAACTAGTTTCACAAATAATGGTATTATTATTATTATTGGGTGAAAAATGTGAATAACTAAATGTGGGCAGAATATCACTTGGCATACCTGGGTGTAAGTACAATTCTTCTTTTTACATTTGCCACACGAAAACAGATCGGTTTGGGTTCCTCCTGTTTTAGCCATTTGATGTTCTCTTATAGCTTCTTTGGTAAGATTTTTTCTCATCTCTTTCAGTTCATCACTTGCCATCTCCTGTGGCGATGACACAGAGATTACAATAGTACTGTAAGGGCGATTCATTAGTAATTTACTCAAACAGTAGGAAATGTAGCTGAAATAATGGGTCAAGTTGTTAAATTGGTTTTAACCATAGTTTCAGATTACTGATCTATGTTTTATTTTCTCCTTGGAACCCTGAAAAATACACATTTCCTTAAATTACAAGCTTGGTGTAATTTAAGGCATGTAAAATCAGCTCTACTTATACGGTAGACAATCATGTGAGTGGAGGAGCAATTTAGATACCAATCTCAATTCACTTCCAGACCACAGTAGCAAGAAATTTCATCTTTATGATTTTGGATTCTTAAGCAAACTTCTAGAATCCGCCTTCTTTCAAGTCAGGTCATTAATCTTGCACAGATATTGTCTACAATGGCTGAAGGTAATCGCCAGACTTTCAGACAGGAATCTTTACTAGTTCTATAATACAGCTCTACCTTTGCCAAAGAAAATGAAAAAATCATAATCTGCAACTTCCTTACATTTTTCAAATTCATCTTTCTGAAATAAATTTAAAACTTGCATAAACATTATTTTACAAGATATTACCAATGGTAAGCTAAACAGAATTGTTGTATAAGATAACATGTGCAAAATTTTGCCAGATAAAACCTCAAGATGCAGGCAAGAAGGCTCAAACATCATACATCATTGGCATTGAGCCCTACCATTACAGCATGCCAAAGGATTTGTTTCCAAGATACCCAGCTCCTAGTAAGATGAACAGCTTTTCAGAAAATGAAACATGAAGCTGAGAAAATTACTTACCTCTGCTGTCATTTTTGCAAACCTGTCAGGAGCTATATTTCCACATAAAACATTTTTCCTCAGATTAGGATTCTTTGTGTCCTTAAGGTTTGCTATCCTGCTGCGCACCCTATTTTTATATTTCATGTCAGTGTTTTTTAGCTCCTGAAATATAGGTGCTTATGAGTTAAGAACAACAGCAATATCGGGCACATAGAATGCATTCCATTCTGGTACAAACATTTAGCCAAAATTAGCACTGCAGCTTAAATTATACCTTTCTTCAATTTGTTTGAAGAGACTTAAACATTTAAAATACATTACTGATTGGCAGGAAAGTATAGAATCCTTTCCCCACTGCAGACTCAACATCCCAAATGACATGTGCACTAAAAGGAACCATCCTCATCTCTGATAAACAGGTGGATTTCTTTCGGATGGCATGCTATAAGCGCTATTGTTTGGAGGGACCCATCCAAGCAGTGGCTGAGTTCTTTTCTTCATGCTAAAAGGCCAGAACTCTTTCTCAAAAAGAAATATACAGCTAAAAAGGCAGAATCTCAAATCCTGAGTTAGTCAGCTTGAAAGGCTGGTCTCAGGACATGGGCAAAGGAAATGTATTTCCCAGGACGGAAAAAGTTCTTTACCCCTGCACTATGGAACCTAGAACAGGGTATCAGACTTCCAAGTGGAAACATCTAAATTCATGACTATGCTACTCAGCAACTATGTTCATGAAAGAACCATAAGACACCTGTACACTCACAGTCTAATCTGTTTGGTTACAAACATAAAATAGGAAAATTTGATGCCATGTTGAATATCTTAAAGGCAGGTCTTGTATTTTGTTATTTGTTGACATATATGTTATTTGACTGTTTTACATTTATGAAAACCTTAAAGGCCAGATATTATACTGAATCGTTGACATGCATGAAACTTGAAAGGCTAAAGACAGGTCCCTCTTCCAAAGGACTTGCATCACAAAATTTGACACACCTGGCTGAATAATGTTATAACTGTTTATATTATTGCATTTCTATATTTGGTGAGGTCCATCAAAATTTTAAAGAATCCTAATGACTACAATACAGTCGATGAATCAATTATCACAGCCATAAAGCGTAATGTAAAAATACTCCCCCTCCCCCATCCACCCAAAAAGAAACTATATGGCCAAACACTCAATGGACTAGAAAGGATATCTTCTTCAATCTGAGATCCCAGCTCTTCCTCATCAGCACCAATAGCAATGTAATCATCTAGTAAAAAAAATACAATTTGTGACCATTAATATGTATTTAAATGCATTTTAATTATACCATTCTTCATCAAAACCTATTCTAAGGCTGTTAACAGAATTCTTTATTACAAGAACTCTGGGAATACAGTAAGATGGATTCCGAAGCAAGTAGCTATATGACTGCAGGCTTAATTTAAGGTTTTCATCCTTGCAGTGAATAATTTTAGTTCTAAAAATATTTAATATGGAACCATTACTATACTTGCTAAATTCACATAATTATTCTACTGCAGTTTTTAATGAACCCTTAGAAAGATACATTACAAATATTTCAAATTAAAGAAGAAAAACTATAGCAGGCTAATACATTTTCACAAACATACATACACATATATGGAGCTGGGAAAGGTACATTCCCTTCTCCTCTGACAATTCAAATCTGTGGCCTGTGAGCTGCAAGCTGCTACCCGATCAGTGAATAGTCTGGTCTCCCTTGTACCAGCTGCAACTACACCCTTCAGTCACCAATGCCTCCTGACATCTACTCTCTAAGAATTATATATAATAATTCAAAAGCAAGACATCAAAATCTGCTACAAAGTGCTCTTGATAGATGATCTTTGTTTTTGGACCTGCTCTTGGTGATGCAAGAGTAATTAATGTTGTTCTTGTTAAAATAAGGCATAATTGTTTAATATTATCTAGGGATACTGCTTATGGCTCAGGAAAATATGGTGGCTCATGGAAATACATGAAATAATAAAACATATGTTATTCTATGATGGTTCAAATGTAACTGGGATAACATTAAAAATTAATAAAAAGACATATTATAAAAAAATCATGATTCAAGGAGAGTCATCCAGTTCGAATCCTGGACTAAATCTTACATAACTGTGAAGTTCTGTTTGAAAAACTTCAACAAAGATTCTATTACTGCTATTGAACAGATTGTAATGTTAATCAAGACTACCTTTTTGCAGGTGATATCCACCGGTTTAGATCCTACCTTCTGGCATAATAATAAAAGCTTACCCCATCTTCCATGACAGTCCTTCAGACACCTCTCAATCTCTTTTCATGGATACTACTACTACTACTACTACTACTACTCCTACTATCAGTAAAACTCCAGAAATAATAACATTTATTTATAATGCTCTCTTTACTGCACTACAGTCGGGCATCACCGTACTGTATTAGCACACCTGATTTGTCTGCCTTAATATAGAATCTTTCATTTATTCTTACTGAAATTCTTTCTGTTAGTTCTTCATTTTACTCATCGGCAATCCCTTGTGTCTGAGTATGATTGTGTCCAAGTGTAGGGTCTTGGCGGTGAATCCATAGGTGACTGTAGAGATCTCTTCTTGAGCTGCATGTTCTTTCGCAATGAGGACATCAGTTTCTAGATGGAAGGCAATCACGGTCAGAGTTGGCTTCAGGAATCTTCCTCTTGACATATTTCTCCCTTTTGCCCTCCATTTGTGCCTCTTTGAATTCCACAGCTGACCTCCAGTTAGAACGCACAAGGTAAAAGGCTTCCAAGTTCTCAGTGTCTATGCCACAGTTTTTGAGGTTACCTTTAAACCCATCTTTAAATCTCTTTTTCTACGCACTAACATTCTGGTTTTTGTTCTTGAGTTGAGAGTAGAGATGGTGATCCGACATGGTAGCCAGTCCAGCAGTGTTGATGGCGAAGGATCATTGCGTCAATGCTGGTGGTCTTTGCTTCTTCCAGCATGCTGACATTTGTCTGCCTGTCTTCCTAAGAGATTTGCAGGATTTTTCAGAGTCAACACTGATGGAATCATTCCAGAAGTTGTGTGTGACTTCTGTAGGTGGTTCACGTTTAGCAGATGTACAACAGGGTTGGGAGGACAACAGCTTTATAAATAAGCATCTTGGTATCCCTATGAATCTCCCAATCCTCAAACACTTTCTGCTTCATTTGGAAAAATGTTGCACTTGCAGAACTCAGACGATGTTGTATTTCAGTGTTAGTGTTGGCTTTTGTGGAGAGGTGGCTGCTAAGGTAGCGGAAATGGTCAACATTTTATAATATTAAGCTGTATTTCTAGCATTGCAGAGGGATTGCCTGGTGCCTGCTGGAAGAGCACGTTGGTTTTTCTCGATGTTCAGAGCTCTTTGGTTTTCTTGATGTTCAGTCAAGCTTTTCGTATGCTTCTGCAATGGTGTTTAGAGTGGCTTGTAGGTCTTCTTCTGGATGAGCACATATTACATTATTATCAGAATATTGGAGTTCTATAACAGATGTTGTTGTGATCTTGGTTTTGGCTTTCAGTCTGCTAAGGTGAAATAGCTTGTCATCCAACCAATAGATATTTCTATGCCAGTGGGTAGCTTCCCATCAACAAAGTGTAGTATCATAGCAATGAAGATAGAGAATAAGGTTGGGGCAATGACACATCCCTATTTGACACCTGATTCCACCTTAAATGGGTCACTTATTCTGTTTGCTTCTGGTGTGAGAGAATTGGCCGTCTGCAAGGACGTTGCCCACGGGACGCCCAGATGATTTGATGTTATCATCATCCTTGTGGGAGGCTTCTCTCATGTCCCCGCATGGGGAGCTGGAGCTGATAGAGGGAGCTCATCCGCCTCTCCCCAGATTTGAACCTGCGACCTGCCGGCACAGGGGTTTTAACCCACTGCACCACGGGGGGCTATGATTGTATGATCCTCTAGTATCCATGGATATAGTTAATCTGGCTCTTGAGACCCAAATGCAATCGAAATTGCCAGATTTGTTTAAAAAACTAGTGTATAGTACTCTGTTGCCTAGTTGATTTTCATCATCATTCCTACATCCAGCTCTTCAGAGGCCCTTCTCCACAAAAGAAGTGAAGGGGTTACATCTCTTTTTTTTACAGTGAAGACCAAGGAAAAGAATTCATCCAGATTCTTTACTATCTCTCTACAATCCTCTAGCAATTTTTTCATTTTTTTCTCGAACACTGATTCATCAGACCCCTGCAATGATTTACCATTAAGTCAGAAACAACTTCATATGTGAGCAGAAGACATTTTCTGGTTATTGAAAACCAATAAATCATGTGTGGTCAAAAATAGCCATTTTTTTGCAAAATATTTTGTGCAAGATTGCTGTTTTCTATGTAGAATCTATGAATCTTGCCACCTATACAATAAAATAAGGCACATGGGTTTCTTTTTTTTCTACAATATTCTGCGTTTGCACAATAAACAACAATCCTGTGCAGAATCCAATGTGGCCATCTAGAAATAATGCCTCTTGCAGGCTTTGGATTAAGTTGTTGATCGTAGAACTCAGATTTGACATGCCAACTAATTCAATTTGCACTATTTTAAATGGTTTTTAATCTAATTTTAATGTTTTACTTATTATGTAACTGTTGTTTTATCTATTGTATATGGGGGGCATCAAATTGTTGCCGGTTGTAAGCCACCCTGAGTCCCCCTTCAGGGGTAGAGAAGGGCGGGGTACAAATATTTGAAATAAATAAATAAATAGCACAAATAAAACAAACATGCAAAACAATTCACATACACGGACACAAAATCATGTATATTTCTGCACATAATTTCTTTAACACTTTGGGATGTGCCAATACCATGCAAGTCCTGAGCAGAGAAACTTGTTTTGTCTGCAGCAAAGAGGAACCCGTGAAAAGAATTCATCTTCACTTGTGAGCACAAAATAGTTGAATATTAATGTCCCTACTATTCAAATGCTTACCTCCTGTTTTGAGAGCTGCTGCCAACATTTCTCTGCATTTCATTCGTACAGAATCAGATGTGATTGGAGCCCGAGGAAAAGAAGAAATAAATGAATCTGAGCCTGTATTACTTTCTTCTTTCCTGTTGCTTGAATTGCTACTGGAACTGCTAAAATGACAATACATACACACATGTATAAACATTTCTTCTATACAGTTCCACTAAAAATCAAATTACAAATCAAATTACAATATCCTTTGAAATATATAGTATTACACAAAAGAACCACAGAGTTTGAAGAGACCACATGGGCCATCTAGTCTAACCTCCTGCCATTCAATACAAACACAATTAAAGCACCCCTTACAGATGGCCATCCAGCCTCTGTTTAAAAACCTACAAAGGAGCCTCCACCACACTCTGAGGCAGTGAATTCTACTGTTGAGCAGCTGTTATGGTTTTAAACATTAGAGGGAACCTAAGCTTTAACAGAATAAACTTTTAAACAACCTTATTCACTCACATGTTCCTCTCTAAAGGCACAGGCTTTCATGTATCTAAGGTATCAGGTGCATCTGCATAATACATCATAATTCTCAATTTTAACTATTATTTTATCAAGTTCTGTAATCTTATCCTGAAGCCTTTAGCCTAGCTTAGCTACGGTAGAAACACCTTTTTTCTTATAAAAAGATCTGCTTCCCTCATCCAAATTTTGACAAACTGCAAGTAGTGGTGTTAATTCTATCATCACAAAGGAAAGATACAAAAGAAACACCTTTCTTCCCTTGCTTCTGGGCTGTTCTGTGATGAAGATGCTGCTTCTTTTTTCTTATCTTCAGAGTCTTTATCATTTGATGGTCCATCTGCAACATGTATATATTTTAAGTGTATAACCTACACAGAGTCAAATCTACTTTTAATGCATATAAACTGCCAGTACTCAGGTTGCAGAAACCCTTAATTTCTCAGTATTTTTCAACAATCCTCTAAATCAGTGTTTCTCAAATTCTGCTCCTCTAGGTATTTTGGACTTCAGCTCCCCAAAATCCCAGCCAGTTTACCAGCTGTTAGGAACTGTGGGAGCTAAAACCCAAAATATCTGGAGGAGCATTGTTTGAGAAACCCTGCTCTAAACCATACAATATAATGTAAGAGAATATGGCCATCTGTATCAAAATGGGGAAGATGATGTGATAAACAAATAAAAATGTAAGCAGATCATATAACAATATACTTTAAAAAGAGAAAATCACACATTTTCCTGTGAATAATTAACAGCCTATACAATAATAATTTGAATAGAAGAAGGAGAAAAGCTAAAAACTTTAGTATAGCTATACCTAATAACTTCTTCCATGATTTAATGAGAGATTTTGCTAAAGATGTAACTTCTTCATCTGTGCTTTGTTTGCGTATTGCATTCACTGACATTCCGATTCTTGTAGACTGTAAACAAAGACAGGTATTCAAACTTTAAACAGATATTTACAAAGAAAAAAGAAGAGGTCAAAATTTAATTTAAAATGCAGCAGAGCATGCAAGATTGTATGAAACTGGAAATCAGGAATACAATCCTTAAGCAATTCTCAATGTAGTCTGTTTAAAATCACAGCCGGAATATTTTTTCTAGTTAAGAATTGTTCAACATAGGCAAGGGCTTACCTTTAATGGTAGCAATACAACACTGAATTCATGAGAGTGTAGTTTAGGTTATATTTTTACTCCAGGTTTTTCTCTTTGGTTCTCTTGAATCCAAAGCGTATTCAAGAATAATCTGACTGATTAACAAACCTTCCTTGTAGCATTGCTTGACTTCTTGCAGTGAGAAATATCTACTCAAGAGAATCCAGTCTACTGTAGGGAGAATACTTATAGAAGGCTACTGATAATTATATTTTATATTGTACTAGCTGTGCCCTGCCACGCGTTGCTGTGGCCAACCTTCCCTCCCTCTTTCTCTCCTTTCTCTCTTTCCTTCCTTTCTTCTTTTTCTTTCCCTATGTCTCATCTTCCTTCCATCTCTACCTGTTTCTTTCCTCCCTGCTTCTCTCCTTTCTTCCTTCCCTTTTTCCCTCCTCTCATTACTTCTTGACTGTCCCTTCCATTTAATAAGGAAATGAAGGGGAAGGAAATGAAGAATGGGAAAGAAGGAGGAAAGGAAGGAGGGACAGGAAGGAAGGAAAAAAGGAGGGGGGAAAGAAGGGAAGGAAGGGGGAAAAAGGAGGGACATGAAGGGAGGGAGGAGAAGGAAGGTGGAAGGAAGGAGGGGGATGAAGAAAGGAGGGAGGGAAGGAAATAAGGGTGGAAGGAAATGAAAGGGAAAGAAGGAGGAAAGGGAGGGAGGAAAAGAAGGAAATGAAGAAGGAAGGAGGGACAGGAAGGAAGGAAAAAGCGAGGGAGGGAAAGAAGGGAAGGAAGGGAAAAAGGAGGGACAGGAAGGGAGGGAGAAAGGAGGGAAAGAAAGGAGGGGGGTGAAGAAAGGAGGGAGGGAAGGAAATGAAGGGGAAGGAAAGGAAGAAAGGGAAAGGAGGAAAAGGAGGGAAGGAAGAAGAAGGAGGGACAGGAAGGAAGGAAAGGGGAGGGAGGGAAGGAGAGGAGAAGGAAGGAAGGAGGGGAAGAAAGGAGGGAGGGAAGGAAATGAAGCAAGGGAAAGAAGGAGGAAAGGGAGGGAGGGAGGAAAAGAAGGAAAGGAAGGATGGACAAGAAGGAAGGGAAGGAGGGAAAGAAGGAAAGGAAGGAGAAGGAAGGAAGAAAAGGAAAGAAAGAGAGGAAAGAAGGGAAGGGAGGGAGAGAAGGAAGGTCCTTCATTCAAGCACCGTGGACCTTCCTCCTCCCCCTCCCCCCTCCCCTTCTTCCTTGCGTGGATGCTCCGTTGCTGCTGCCATTGCTGCTGCTTTCCCAACAGGTAGTGAGGGAGCCTGTGTGTGTGTGTGCCGCGCGGGGGGTGGGGGGGGGTGAGGGTGTGTGTGTGTGTGCCGGAAGGAAGGGGGCATGTCTTACTGGCGTGAATGTGTGTGTGTGTGGCGGAAGGTGTGTGTGGGCGGCGGGGGGAGGAGTGAAGGAGCGTTGTGTGTGTGTGTGTGTTTGCGACGGGGAGGAGTGAGTCAGGGAGGGAAGGGGTGGGGGGAAAGGAAGGGGGCGTGTCTTACCGGCGTGAGTGTGCTTGGGCCCGCCGCGGCGAAGGGAGGGGGCATGTCTTACCGGCGGAGGGTGGGAGGAGGGAAAGAGTGAGACAGGGAGGGAAGGGGTGGGGGGGAAGGGAGGGAGGGGGCGTGTCTTACCGGCGTGAGTGTGTGTGTGTGGCGGCGTGAGCAGGGTAAGATGAAGGAGGGTGAGTTGCGATGGTTTTGACAGGGCGGGAAGCGGCGCGGCGTGAGGATGGGGGCGTGGCTTGCGCGGAGGGAACATTGGCCGCCAGGCCATCTGCGCGTGCCAGGGAACTTGCGGCTGGGTGCCAATGCGCATGCTCAGTTGTTTTGCCGTTTTGTGAGTGTGGTGTTGTGTTGTTTTTGATTTTGATTGGGTTTGTTTGTACCTAGTGGGTTGAGGTATGTGCATGGGAATTTTGGTTAATTTCTGTTGGGGGGTTTTTGAGTTTTGCTTCCTCATACGACGCCACTTCGGATTTTATATATATAGATTTTATATTGTATTTGATAATCTGGTGTTCATGTATTTATTTGTTTGCCTTGACTTGTATGTGAAAGACCTATGGTCTAAGCATTGAATAAACTAAACTAAACTACTGATAATTATTGTATTAGGGTATTTCTAAAGTATCATTAATTGAGGCAAATGCATAGTAAAGCAAAGATAGGGTGCTACTGCCATCTACAGTACTAGAATAAAATTATTTAAAGTTAGCAAAACAGGAAGGGAATGTAATTAATTCAACCTAAAGTAGATCTACTTAAATTACATGAGTTTATTAGATGGCCCCCTGGTGGCGCAGCGGGTTAAACTGCTGAGCTGCTGACCAAAAGGTTGGTGGTTCGAATCTGGGGAATGGGGTGAGTTCCTGCTGTTAGCCCAAGCTTCTGCTAACCTAATAGTTCGAAAACATGCAAATGCGAATAGATCAATAGGTACCGTTTCTGCGGGAAGGTAATGGCGCTCCATGCAGTCATGCTAGCCACATGACCTAGGAAGTGTTTACAAACAACGCCAGCTCTTTAGCTTAGAAATGGAGATGAACACCACCCCCCAGAATCAGACACAACTAGACTTAATGTCAGAGGAAACCTTTACCTTTATTAGTTGTGATTAGCATGTCCCATTCCTTTCACAATGTGTTTATCCTAAACAGGATTAATAGCAGATTGAGCTCTAGGCATAATATGAATTTGCTATAAAATAGTTTTTAGCTTTATAATTGTATTTTCAGGTTGTATTAAATTGGTCCTATTTTAATTATATACGAAATCTAATATCCGGTTCAAGGCTATTAAGGCAATAATAAACCTACTCCAAACAAACTTTATTGAGAAAACCTTTTCTCATTAAAGGGTTATCTAAGGTAGAAGCAAGTCAGAAACAACTTGAAGGCATTCATCATCAACATCAATGAGGAATGCAAACTAATTGGTAGAATCCTGTAGATGTTGTTGGACTGCAACACCTATCATTTCTGATTATTAATTATGCCGACTAGGGCTGCAAGGAACTAGTAACAAAATTCATAGGTCCATATGATGCCCGCCATAGGCCTCATTGGACAATAGCTAATCCTAACTAGAGTAAAGCCAATGAATCAATGGCATTTAGTGTTGACTTCAGCAATTGTTACAATGTGTCACATTTCAAATTAAAATTAAGCTATAGTTGTATTAGAACTGTGAATTTTTAATACCATTCATATTTAATTCTGTTTTAATGTTTGTGTATTTGTAGATTTTAAAGTATATTGAAATATTTTTAATGTAAGCTGCTTTGAGTCTCCTTATGGAGAGAAAAAAACGAGGCAATAATAATAATAATAATAATAATAATAATAATAATAATAATAATAATAGCAGCATCAGCAGCCAAACAACAGCGATAGCAGTCAAAGGATAAAATGAAAAGCGTGACTGAATAATATCATTAAGACTTCAGGGAAATACACCATTTTACTCATAATTGAGTTTATGTTCCAACTACTGAAGAACAAGAGTGATAAATTTGAAGAGTCGATGATGGATTCAAGAGAAAACTGATATACATATCATAATATACAGTGTTGTTCCATTGATGGTAAAAATTCCTCTATAGGAGCAACAACGTAATTGTTGTTTTCATACTTGCTATTATAGCTCAAATGTAACTATTAGATTCAGAGAATTGATGTCAGTTTTGGCTTACCATGTGTCCACTGATTGAATAGATCTATTAAAGCACAGATCTGGCCTGCATTTTCAACATAAGCAACAAAGGCACCAGTGACATTACAATTTTTGTCAAAGGCCTAAAATACTAAAGTGCTACATAATTTTTAACTTGTTATATTAAACATGTGTTTGCATGATACTGAATCTTATTCAAATTATTTATAATTATGGCATAATAAAGTGTGATTTAAACACTGCATACCTGTAATAATTCCAGAGTCATGGGCATATTTTTGAGTTCTTTCAGTAAGTCAAGAGCCCCAGCCTGTAAAAGAATGTTAAAGACTGAATATCCATACTATCACACACTCATATTTTTTTCACTGTGACATAGCTATTTCATTTATTTGCAAATCCATACTATGAATATTCTTAATAAACTGAAATAAAATTTATTTCCGAAGCTTGTATACCTCATGTTGAGCTACTTTGCTCATTCATATACTATTCAATAAGTATCCAATTACCAGCACAGCAGTGCCTCCTAGCGACAGAGAAGGAATATATCTTCATGTGAAGCATAAGCTTTCAATTAGAGACCAGATATTAGATATTGCAACCCTTGTGCTGCCCAAAAGCTAATGAAAACATTTGCCTTGCAGGATCACAGCCCTAAAGACTGGAACACAGCACACAACTGTTGCCATCGACTTCCACCACAACTATCCTCTCTAAGGGAAATAGTTAAATTCACCTGCTCTTTTGTTTACTCCCATAGGTACATAATATAAAAGGAAAAGCATTGACTCAAATGGAACTACTCCCTTCTTTCTGACCTGCTCCCCACACAATTCCTGTATAATTTTGATGGCATATCAATGAACATGGCAGGGCATGACAGCTAATCTTAGAGTGTATAGAGTAGACAGACTAGAATCAAAGAGACAAGTCATAATTTACTTAAATCTCATGGACTGTAATGGGTCTACTCAGAGAGGGAGCCAGCATGGTGTAGTGGTTTTAGAATTGTACTAAGACTCTGGTAAGTTATCCCTATTCCGCAATTCAACAATGAAAATCCATTGGGAAAAGTCACATTTTCTCAGACAAAGGAAATAACAAATCTCTTCTGAGTACATCTCATCAAACAAACACCATGCTATGCTTATTTTAGATTAACCCATAAGTCAAAAATGACTTGAAGGTACACAAGACCAACAACAAGAACTTGAAGGCACACAAGATCAACAAAAAGAACAACTCCTCTAAATGTGATTAAATGCTCACCACTTTACATAAAGGGCTCAAGATGGCGAACAAAAATATCCAAATTCATGAGAACATTCTGCACAAACCACTATCCTTTCCACTGTTTACATTGTGTCCTGAGAATATGTCTCGTTCTCTCTCTTTTTTAAAACTTCATCTGTTATAGGAGTTGACCTGCTACTTCATCACACTAGAGAATAAATCCACTTTAAATCTGGTTGCTGCCTCCTGCAGAATTTTGGGGTTTGTAGTTTAAGGAGAAGCCTTTAACAGCCTCACTAAACTACAAACTCCAGAATTTTGCAGGAGGCGGAAACTGGATTTAAAGTGGATTCATACTCTAGTGTGATGAGGCCCCAGGTTAATAAAACTAGTCAGCTCACCAATGAGCTAAATGTCAATGTGAATTGGTTTCATTTCAAACTTATATGAAACAATTCTTTCATAGCCCAATGCAACTAATGTTAAACAGATACTGTAGTGCTGAATGAACATTATGGGCTTGTGATTCCCATTGCTTGAAAAGTCTGAATTATCTTTCCCCTGTTAATTTATAATGATTTCAGCATACTTAAAACATCACTACCGGTGCCTTGTTTTAGCAAGAGCTGTTGTCTCTCCAAAAACTGCTCCATAGTACTGGGAGCAAGAGTTACACACAACTGTTCCCTGAACAATCATTGAATCTATAAGCTACTTACAAGACAGAGTTGTTAAAGACTTCTTTTGAGTGAATATCCGCCTAATGGCTTCATGTTCTTGATCTGTTTGAATCTGAATGTTTTCAGATTTAATGCTATGAGTTGTCACTGAGATGGGGTCCAGTATACTGTCATACACATGAGACTGATGTAGCCTGAGGGAAGACTAAGGTAGGATGCCTTCCCTGGCATCTACTTATCTCAAAGACTATTATAGTTGTTATTAACAATTGCTTCTGCAAAGGGGAGGGAGAATTACCACAGAAATTGCTTCACTTCCCATTGCATTGGCAAATGATTCCATTGGCTCAAAGAGCCATTAACCAGAGATGGGACATGAAATGGATACAATTTAAAATCAACAATCAGTTTAATTTTAATTCATAATATAAATTTAATTCTTAATGAGTATTTATAGGTTATTATTACAAAAACCACACTTTTAGCCCATTATCATCATCAGCCACACTCCCACTTAATAATAAACAAATATTTGCTTGATAATAAGTCTCTGGGAAAAGAGTAAGATACTTTATCAAAAGCTGTGATCAGAGAGGTAGAAGGATAAAATTGCATTTTCCTGGAATCTTCCCTTTCTCTCTTTGTCTTTCACCAACTTTATCAGAGCTCAATGTGTTTTTCATTGCATCTATGTAATTCTCTTTTAAGAATTTTGATCACTATGTTAACAAATTAATACTTAATTAAAGTATGTAGCCCAAGTTTTATAAAGCCATTCACATGCACTCGAAAGAATTTGATAAGATCTGTACAAAAAGCTTTGCCATCTAAGTATGTAAAAATTTTATGAACTGTTTTGATACGGCATATTGCTTTAAACATATGGAGATTATTGAATCTGTAATATAAGTATTCACTATAAATAGCTTATCAGGGTTTTTTTTTTTTACTATCGAGCATGAAAACCATTGCTTACAAGCAAAATTTCACAACCAAATATCTAGACTAATTTTAATATAACTGAGTTCAATAATATGGAGAAATGTTTTAAAGCAAAATGAAAACAACCAACATTCTTTTAAATTAAATTATAGAAACCTACCATTTAATAATAGGGTTGCTTAATATTTAAATCTGCTCCCCAACAAAAAGAATTAAATGAATCAATGGTTTCATGCTTCTTGATATCTGAGCAATTTACATACAAGGCTAATGATGGAGTAAAGTAGGTTCATAAGGGAAAGGGATACTCTCTACCACTTTAACTAAAGAATTTTCCCTTGTTCAAATGATGCAAAAAGTAGAAAAACACTACATGTTTTAATCACAAAATGAGGGGCCTTTTATTGACTTGAAGCCAAATAATGGTGCCTTGTTTGTTCTATGGTATTCAGAGACAAGTCCTTCAATGTGTTTATGATACTATTCTAGTACTAACAGAGTATAGAAGTCCCATTGTATTAAATGGCTTCCTATGAAACATGTACATACAACAGGTTGATAAACTTCTTGTCGTCTAGTGAGACTGGTAGTCAAAAATATTTATACAGTAGGACCTTAGAATCTGCTAGAGGTTCAGTAGCTGTTGAAGGTGTCATAATTCGTGGATGTTCAAGTCCCATTATATGCAATGGAGTAGAAAAATAGTATCCTTTATATAAAAAGGCAAAATCAAAGTTTTCTTTTTGGATTTTTAAAAAATGTATATTTCTAAGCTGCATATTGTTGAATCCAGAGAGCTGACTATATAGTCAAAGACTTTCCATTTCTGGTCTAGAGGATGGCTGCCTAGCACACATGAAATATATTTAGTAATACTCTGGTTCTGTATCTAAGTCTTACCTTTTCTTCTCTAATCTTACTCAACTGCTCTTGATTTTTGAATATTCCATATGTGCAACATTACCTCTGCCAACTTGAACCTATTCATTACACAATAAGGTAAGTTGTTATACAGTACTGCTTATACTATAAAACAAATATTCTAATTAATATCATTTGCATGCAACACCAATACATAGATCATCTTAACGTAAGTTTATGAGAACTTCTTTAATATACACTTGTTTTGAATGAATGTGACCCTTAGGTGCATATTCTTGAAAAATATGACAAGTGAGCAGCAGCAGGATGTTCTCGTAGGGGATGTGATTCATGGAAAATAAGAAGGCAAGGGAATGAAGCATTCAAAATTTAAAGAAGAGATGGCAGGGGCAGTGGTGCACATTGCCTATCTGTGGTTCCTCTACTACTCTGATGGCTACCATTCGGGACAACTGGAAGAAACAATGCATCACACATTCAGACCATTTCTGAAGGTGTTTTTTAGCATTTTAATGTGAGGGTTTTGGGTGGAAAACGGCCTACAGGGGAAAGGTGCAAAGGCCTTTGGGAAACCCTGCACCACAAGAACACATGAATAGTTCCTACCTAGGATTTCAATGATTATATCATAAATCTACAAAAACAGTAGGATTTATATTCCTAATACATCATTATACTGTGTTTATAGAAAGTATGGATAGCTAAGGGTGCATCTATACTGTAAAATTAATGCAGTTTGACATCACTTTAACCACTAATGTTCAGTGCTATTACTGTATCCCTTACCCAGCATGCTTGGGATTAGAAGTGTTTTAATATTTGGGGAGGGGGATTTTGGGATATCTATATTTGCACATATGCACATAAAGAAATATATTGGAGATGGAATTCAAGTTTAAACACAACACTCATTTATGTTTCATATACACCTTCTATACATTGTCTGATGATAATTTTATATATCATTTTAATACTTTTGATCAGAAAACAAAGTTCTGAACCATCAGAAAGAAAAGGTGTCACTATCTGAGCAAGACATGTGGACATTTTTAGAGTCCAGGCAGTCCCTTAGTTACAAACATCTGATTTACAAACAACCCATAGTTAAGAATGGGGGGCAATAAAACAGGCAATGAGAGAAATCTAGTCCTAGGAAGGGAAATTCATTCCTGAAAGAGTTATTATGGGGGAAAGGTGTCTCAACTGAAGCTTTATCACCAACCCTTGTTTCTACAACAAGCCATTTTTTCAAAATCCAATAATCACAGAAAGTGGAATCTTCTGAACAGGGACAGACAGTAAAACAAACACCCCAGAGATGGAGACCTTTCCCTATGCTATCCAAAGAACAAGACCCCCCCCCCCAATTTTAGAATGTTAGATTTTCGTAAGTCGAGAAATGTATATCATAGATACATTGTTGCCACTAAGTTGATCTTACAGAGTTGCATGGCTGGCTGAGATGCTTTTTTGATGCTCCAGTATACATAAACTTTGTTTTATACACAAAGTATTTAATATATTAGGTACAGAATTCAAGCTATGTGTATATGAAATATAAATTAATTTGGGGTTTAGACATGGGTCTCATTGCCAGTATATCTCATTATGTATGTCCAAGTATTCCAAAATCCAAAACACTCTTAGGGACTTCCACACAGCCATATAACCCAGAATATCAAGGTTGAAAATCTCATAATATCAACTTTGAACTGGGTTATCTGAGTCTACACTATCATGTATTCCAGTTCAAAGCAATAATGTGGGATTTTATTCAGCTGTGTGGAAGGGGTCTCCGTCTCAAACATTTCAAACAAGGGATATTCAGCCTGTACTTCCATCTGGTCAGAATCAGAGTTGGAAGAGACCGTAAGGTAAGGGCCATTGAGTCCATCTCTCTGCCATGCAGGAAAATTCAATCAAAGCAATCCTGACAGATATCCAGCCTCTCTTTCTCTGAAATCCACCACACTTAGAGGCAGCATATTCGACTGCCAAATAGCTCTTACCATCAGTAAGTTCTTCCTAATGTTTAGGTGGAATCTATTTTCCTGCAATTTGAATCCACTGTTCTGTGATGTCTCCAGAGCACCAGAGAACAAGCTTCCCCCCTCCTTCTTAACATGACATCTTGTCAAATACTTACATATGGATTCATTCCCCTTTCAAGCTTTTTTTCTCCATGCTAAATATACCCAGTTCACTAAATTGTTCCTATAAGGCTTTGTTTCCAATCCTTTGATCATTTTGGTCGTCCTTCTCTGGGTATGGTTCCAGCTTGTCAATATTCTTCTTGAATTGTGATGACCAAAACTGGTTACAGTATTCCAGGTGAGGTCTCACCAAAGCAGAACTTACCTCAATCTAGAACAGGGGTGTTCGACCTTTTGGCTTCCCTGTGCTACATTGGGGGGGGGGGGAGAATTGTCTTGGGCTGCACACCACTGTAAAACTGAAGCCACTATTTTGGGCGACATTCATAGCTGTCCTGGGACACAAATAGAAAGAGCTTATGGCATGCAGTGGCACAATGTCCACAGAATGCACACTTGAATTCTTTTTCACAAGTCATTGTATGTGACAATGGGACAGAATCATTTCACTTTTTATTAGTTAATTTTAACAGTTTCCATTTTCTTCTGTTAGCAATTATAATGCAAATTATGGATTTATTTATTTATCGTATCAGAAGCAAACCAAAGGTACAGTTGTAATGCATTTAAAAAAACACAAAGTTAAAAAAAATCTTGGCATTATATCAAAGGACATTTGATATAAAATTATGGATAATTCCCAGATATTTGTAGACATAACATAGTCTAGACCAGGGGTCCCCAAACTAAGGCCCGAGGGCCGGATATGGCCCTCCAAGGTCATTTACCCAGCCCTCACTCAGGGTCAACCTAGGTCTGAAATGACTTGAAAGCACACAACAACAATCCTATTTCATCAGCCAAAAGCAGACCCACACTTCCCATTGAACTACTAATAAGTTTATATTTGTTAAAATTGTTCTTCATTTTAATTATTGTGTAATTAAGTGTTTTTCCACCACAAATAAGTTATGTGCAGTATGCACAGGAATTCATTCATGTTTTTTTCAAATTATAATCCGGCCCTCAACAGTTTGAGGGACTGTGACCAGGCTGTCTGTTGAAAAAGTTTGAGGACCCCTGGTCTAGACTGTTCGATACTATTGTCTACAAAATTTGACAACAAACAGTTACAAAACAGAGAATCTTAATCTTTTAAGTAAATTTATGATCTTGTGTTGGGCTGCAGGTTGGACAAGCCTGATCTCCACATGCTACGCCTCTGCCCCGGAGTGTGGTGGAGGCTCCTTCTTTGGAAGCTTTTAAACAGAGGTTGGGTGGCCATCTGTCAGGGGTGATTTGAATGCAATATTCCTGCTTCTTGGCAGGGGGTTGGACTGGATGACCCATGAGGTCTCTTCCAACTCTTTGATTCTATGATGCTGCCTAGAATCACACTGGCTTTTTAAAGCTGTGAACTCATGTTCAGCTTGTGGGCCATTCAACACAACCATATAACCCTGGGTGTCAAAGCAGAAAATCCCACAATTATCTGCTTGGAACTGGGTTGTCTCAGTGTACACTGTCATGTATTCCAGTTCCAAGCTGATAATGTGGGATTTTATTCAGCTGTGTGGAAGGGACCTAAGATTCCTAGCTTCTTTTCACTCAGGCTTGTAGGCGGGGGGGGGGGGGGGGGGGGCATATGCCCCCCCCCCGAAATTCTCAGGGTGGTCTGCGAGAAGGCCTTACTGGTACATTATTTAAACTGTTATGTTTATTCATATCATGATTTGATCACCATGCTCAATATATCCCATATGCATGGGGGTATTGGGTAACGATACAAAAGGTTTGCTAGGGTAGACCCTCCCCCCCCCCCCCCCCCCGAATCAAAATCCTGGCTACGGGCCTGCTTTCACTGTTTTTAAGCCAGGTCCCATCCTGATGTGGACATTGGGGTCTATCAGCTGAAGCAAGAGTGAACAGACGCTTCTCAAAAATCACTTCCCAATTTGAAAAAAAGATTTGAGAAAATTATGTGATACTCCCTGAGAATTGTCAATTGTGTGAATTTCCCTGGAAACTAGGTTCTGTGAGACCTTGTGTTGTTGGAGGTATTTGTGATGTGCACACGTGATTTTGAGTGAGTGGCAGCAAAGATTCAATGAAATTGTGTATGTATCTCTCCAATCCTATATTTGTGCATTTCTCCTTGTAGAAATTCGTGTTGGTAGTTTTTAACTCAGGTCTCTAAACTGTTAGGGTCTATTTTGGATTTTGAGCCTGCCCTTTGGGGTATTCGTTATCTGTCAACCCAGGCATGGGCCAACTTCGTCCCTCCAGGTGTTTTGGACTTCAACTCCCACAATTCCTAACAGCCTGCCGGCTGTTAAGAATTGTGGGGGTTGAAGTCCAAAACACCTGGAGGGCCGAAGTTGTCCTGCTGTTAAGAATTGTGGGGGTTGAAGTCCAAAACACCTGGAGGGCCGAAGTTGGCCGGCTGTTAAGAATTGTGGGGGTTGAAGTCCAAAACACCTGGAGGGCCGAAGTTGGCAGGCTGTTAGGAATTGTGGGAGTTGAAGTCCAAAACACCTGGAGGGCCAAAGCTGGCCCATGCCTGGGTTGACATATTTCCTGGCTGTCTATCCTGCATGTCATGAATTTACACTGCTGCTTTGTGTATGGTTTTAAAGTCTAGCATCACTAATGGCGCGTCCTTTCTAATTTTGACAACGACACGAGGCCTTCAAGTCTCACACACAGGGCAGGTAAGCCAAAAGCTCTTGGACGCTGGCAGTGGGATGGCGACGAGGGAAAATGAGGGAGGATGCTCTGCTCCCCTTCGCGGCCCCCCCCTCCCGCTCCCCTGGCCTCAAACACGGCCTTGCTCGCGAGGAGTTCCCGGATGTGACAGTTGAAGCCCCTCAAGAAAAGGGAAAATTTGCTCCCCTCAGGGAAGAAGAAGAAGAAAAAAGGCGGGCGCCCAGCTGAGCGCGCGCCGCCGCTGATTGGCCGGCCGGGCGTTCGAGCCGGGCGCGCGAGGGGTCCGTGGGCACCAATCTCTCTCTCTCTCCCGCCCCCCTTCCCTTTCTCTCTCTCTCTCTCACCGCGTTTTTCTTCTGCACCATTTTGTCCATTTTCTTCGCGATGCGTATGATCTCGTCTTCGGCGTTCATGGCGGCGACTGATTACGGGTAAGGAAGGCTTAACTCCTTGACGAAGCGCTGGGGAGAATTCGCCCGCTCCGGCCAAGATGGAGCTCCCTTTCCCAGCAGCAGCAGCACCGCCGCAGCCGGGGCCCTGGCCGAGCTCGCCACCCACCCACCGGCCTAGGCCTAGGCCTGGCTCGACGCGACAGCTCTGCCGCTGCCGCTCGTCAAGGCTGGGGCCCAGGGAGCCAGGCCGCACGGCGAAAGGCCGAGAGCATCGATCCGAGGGGAGGGGAGGGGAGGAGAAAGGGCGGAGCTTCCGCTTTTGTGGCCTTCGTAGCACTCGGTGGCAGAGCCGGGAGGGAAATTATTTTGGACCACATTTCCCAGAATCCTCCGCCTGCCACGCCCATTCTGGAATTCTGGGTGTTGTAGTCTTTCGTTTATCTTTACCTATTTTTATTTATTTATTTATTTATTTATTTACGCCATTTATATGCTGCCCTTCTCACCCCGAAGGGGACTCAGAGCGGCTTACAATATATATTTTCATACAATATATTATATTATATTGTATATTGAAGATCGATGCTTTTGAGCTGTGGTGTTGGAGGAAAGTGCTGAGAGTGCCTTGGACTGCGAGAAGATCCAACCAGTCCATCCTCCAGGAAATAAAGCCCGACTGCTCATTGGAGGGAAGGATACTAGAGACAAAGTTGAAGTACTTTGGCCACATCATGAGGAGACAGCAAAGCTTAGAGAAGACAATTATGCTGGGGAAAGTGGAAGGTAAAAGGAAGAGGGGCCGACCAAGGGCAAGATGGATGGATGGCATCCTTGAAGTGACTGGACTGACCTTGAAGGAGCTGGGGGTGGTGACGGCCGACAGGGAGCTCTGGCGTGGGCTGGACCATGAGGTCACGAAGAGTCGGAGACGACTGAACGAATGAACAACAACAATATTATATTATTAGCATAGTACAATATCAGTGTATATTACTATATTGCACTATTATTATTATTATAACTTTATTTGTACCCCGCTAGCATCTCCCGAGGAATTCGATGCGGCTTACACAGGCCGAAGCCCCAAAACACAATATAACAATACAATACCTAAAGCAAATTAAAAACAGTTAAGCAGGAAAACAATAACAGTAACAATACAACAAGACACTATTAAAACTGGGCCAGCCAGAGTAGGGGTACAGGATTAAAAGTGCTGATGTGGCGGGAGGAATGTAGGATTATAATATAAGTGCAGTGTGCAGTGATCTTGGTTCTACTAAAGTGCTTCTAGGATTTGGTGCTGGAGGTTCCTAATCTGAAAAGGCACATCGGAACAGCCAGGTTTTCAAATTCTTTCTGAAGACTGCCAATGTAGGGGCTTGTCTGAGATCTTTCGGGAGGGCGTTCCAGAGTCGGGGGGCCACCACAGAAAAGGCCCTGTCTCGCGTCCCCACCAAGTGCGCTTGCGACGCGGGCGGGATCATGAGCAGGGCCTCTCCAGATGACCGGAGTGAGCGTGTGGGTTCGTAGACAGCGATACGGTCACACAGGTAGGGTGGTCCCAAACCGTTCAGGGCTTTGTAGGTAAGTACCTGCACCTTATACCATTATATTGTAATATTATTAGTAATATTACATGTAATGTAAATATAATTATAATATTGAATTATTACTAGTATTATATTGTATTACATTATAATATTATAAATATTATATGTATATACAATATACTATATTATATTATTAGTAAAGACAAGACGGAAATGTCTTCTGCTCCCTTCAGTCTTCGCTCTAGCCAGAGCAGCCGTTGGTGCCAGAAGGGGGAGGGGCCTCTCAAGTGATGATATAGGCATCCTTTCTCCTTTCCTATCCTGTCTCAGTGTCGTTGCCGGCAGGGCTGCTGCTGTTACTTTATGTATTTACTAGCCGTCCCCTGCCACGTTTTGCTGTGGCCCAGTCTGGTGATCTGGGAAATAAAGTAATGAGAAAGTGTTGGTTTCTAATATATGTAATGTCTTTATGCTTGTGGGTAAACAGTATTTCTTGCTGTTTCTTTGTCAGTGTTGATGTGGAGATTGTCTGGTTTGCCTACTCTGGAACATGCAACATATCATTGTCCTTCTTTAAGGGTCCTTTTCAAATCTATGATACTATATCTCTGTGTGTGTGTGATTCATACCTATCTATATCTATGGCTGGATGGCTCTTTGTCAGGAGGGCTTTGATTACATTTTCTTGCCCTGGTGAAGGGAGTTGGACTGGATGGCCTTAAGTATTTTCTGTTGGTCATGGGGGTTCTGTGTGGGAAGTTTGCCCCAATTCTGTCATTGGTGGTTCAGAATGCTCTTTGATTGTAGGTGAACTATAAATCCCAATAATTCCCAAATGTCAAGGTATATTTCCCCAAACTCCACCAGTGTTCACATTTGGGCATGTAGAATATTTGTGCCAAGTTTGGTCCAGCTCCATCATTGTTTGAGTCCACAGTTCTCTCTGGATGTAGGTGAACTACAACTCCCAAACTCAAGGTAAATGCCCACCAAACCCTTCTAGTGTTTTCTGTTGTTCATGGCAGTTCTGTGTCCCAAGTCTGGTTCAATTCCATCGTTGGTGGGGTTCAGAATGCTCTTTGATTGTAGTAGAACTATAAATCCCAGCAACTACAACTCCCAAATGACAAAATCAATTTTTGATGGTCGCTCGTTGGATTAGTAGGTGTCTTGTGTCCAAATTTGGCAGCAATTCGTCCAGTGGTTTTTGAGTTCTGTTAATCCCACAAACGAACATTACATTTTTATTGATATATATACTAGCTGTCCCCTGCCACGCGTTGCTGTGGCCCACATGGGGGTTCTGTGTGGGAGGTTTGGCCCAATTCTATCGTTGGTGGGGTTCAGAATGCTCTTTGATTGTAGGTGAACTATAAATCCCAGCAACTACAACTCCCAAATGTCAAGATTCTATTTTCCCCAAACTCCACCAGTGTTCACATTTGGGCATATTGAGTATTCTTGTAGAGTTTCGTCCAGATCCATCATTGTTTGAGTCCACAGTCATATTTGGATGTATGTGAACTACAACTCCAAAACCAAAGGACACTGCCCACCAAACCCTTCCATTATTTTCTGTTGGTCATGGAAGAACTGTGTGCCAAGTTTGGTTCAGTTCCATCGTTGGTGTGGTTCAGAATGCTCTTTGATTGTAGGTGAACTATAAATCCCAGCAACTACAACTCCCAAATGACAAATTTTTTTTTTTTTAGTGAAGGACATACATTGGGTTGTTCGGTGTCTTGTGTCCAAATTTGGTGTCAATTCATTCAGTGGTTTTTGAGTTCTGTTAATCCCACAAACGAACATTACATTTTTATTTATATAGAAGATTATTTCATGCATTTCTACCCCACTCTTCTGCCCCTCCCCAAAGGGGGACTCAGGGTGGCCTCACATAAGCATCATGTGATGCTGCCAGCATATAACAACAAAGATTACAATTAAAACAGTAAAAATCATTAAAAACATTATACAAATTCATTCACAGTTCATTAAACAATAAACATGCCAATTAAAATCAAGACCAAGTCGGGTATATCCAATGTTGCTGATGTCCTAAATTTCCTTTCCAATTGCTGCTGTCCACTAGTCCAACGCCTGGTCCCAAAGCCAAGTCTTCCAAAGGACAGGAGGGTGGTGGCCAACCTGACGTCCTTAGGAGGGAGTTCCACAGACCGGGGGGGGGGGCACTGCCGAGAAGGCTCTGACTCTCGTCCCCACCAACCGCGTTTGTGAGAATGTTGGGATCGAAAGCAAGACCCCCTCTGATGGTCTTAAGCAACTATCTTTAAGCGGCGAAGTGCTTTTAGCAGCAAATTTGAGATGCGAAGAAATTGTTATATAATGTGTTGTCGCAAGGCTTTAATGGCCAAAATCCCTGGGTTGCTGTGAGCTTTCTGGGCTGCATGACCATGTTTCAGAAGCATTCACCCACATCTATAGGAGGCATCCCCAGAGGTTGTGAGGTCTGTTGGAAACGAGGCAAGTGAGGTTTATATATTGTGGAATTTCCAAAATGGGAGAAATGACTGTTTGAAGCAAGTGTGAATGTTGCAATCCTCTCACCTTGATTAGCATTAAATAGCATTGCAGCTTCAAAGCCTAACCTCTTCAAGCCTTTGTTGAAAGGTGTTAACTGGCCCTGATTGAGTCTTGTCGGGAATTCCTTCTTTCTGAGTGTTGCTCTTTATTCACTGTTCTGATTTTAGAGTTCTTTAATACTGGTAGCCTGATTTTGTTCATTTTCATGGTTTCCTCCTTTCTGTTGAAATTGTCTACATGCTTGTGGATTTCAGTGGCTTCTCTATGTAATCTGACATGGTAATTGTTAAGAGTGGTCCAGTATTTCTGTGTTCTCAAATAATATGCAGTGTCCAGGTTGGTTAATCAAGTGCTCTGCTATAGCTGACTTCTCTGGTTGAATTAATTTGCAGTGCCTTTCATGTTCTTTGATTTGTGTTTGGGTGCTGCATTTGGTGGTCCCTATGTAGACTTGTCCACAGCTGTATAGTGTAGTAATAATAATAATAATAATACTTTATTTATACCCCGCCACCATCTCCCCAAGGGACTCGGAGCGGCTTACATGACGCCAAGCCCAACAACACATCAATAAAACAAGAAAGCAATTAATTAATATAAATCACATATAAACATTAACACACAAAGATTTACAAATCTATGGCTGGGCCAAATGTAATAGTTTAAAATTAAAAAATAAATACTGGGCATGAACAAGGTAGGATATATCTGGTAGGAGGATTTTAAAAGAAGTGAGGGGAGCGCAATCCAATGAATAGCCAAAGTGCATTCTGAGGACATTTTGCTGGGTATTATTTCCTTAGGTAGGCACACTGGAACAGCCACATTTTCAGGCTCCTCCTAAAGACTGCCAATGTTGGGGCATGCCTGATATCCCTGGGAAGTGAGTTCCAAAGTCAGGGAGCCACCACCGAGAAGCCCCTGTCTTCGGTAGACTCCTGCAAAAGTGAGAGGATTGCAACATTCACACTTGCCTCAAACAATCAAGAGTTCTTTCTCCCATCTTGGACATTCCACAGATAAATAAACCTCACTTACCTAGTTTCCAATTGACCTCACAACCTCTGAGGATGCCTGCCATAGATGTGGGCAAAACATCAAGATAGAATGCTTCTGGAACATGGCCATACAGCCCGGGAAACTCACAGCAACCCTGTTATATAATGTGTTGTTGCTGTCAGATTTTCAATGCTCAATAGAGACGCACAAAAGTATCTGAGGGTTCTTCCGGACAGACCCAATATCCCAGGATCTGATCCCAGTTGTTTTTTGTTTTTGTTCTTTTGCTTTAAACTAGATTATATGAGTCTGCACCGCCAGGTAATCTGGGATAAACAGAAAACCTGGGATCATATCCTGGGATATAGGGCCTGTCTGGAAGGGCTCTGTAAGATTTTCAGCTACTTTGTTCAAATGGCTTGGGATGCTGTCTGTTCCTATACCTTTCATCTAAGAAAAAAAGCCTACTTTAGCAGGGTTGAAGGACTCCACGCGTTTCATAGGGTTTTCTTAAGCCCCTTCCACACAGCTCAATAAAATCCCACAATATCTCCTTTGAACTGGAATACAAAACTATAAAATGTTCTGTTTCTGGTGCAATTATTAGGTTTTAAAGATTTTAATCATCCTGTGGACCACCCTCTTTAGTCTAGTTCAATTCAAGGTATACATATACAGTAGTTCATCTATAAAGTTGTGAATACCTGAGTATAAGATGCATGAAATCCAGATATGTATATTAAGAATTGGTTAATGCTGCCAGTTTTCTAATGACAATGGCAAACTGCAAGACTTCTCAGACTTAGTTCTAGGAAGTAGAAGGAAGCTCTCAGGGAAGATACATAAGTAGCACACAAGTGGCACAATGCAATTCCACTTTATCCCCTGTAAGAAAATGTGAAGGTTTTATCCTTATTGATCCCAAGACATGGAGCTTCAGGTAAGAATGCTCACAATGTGCATGTAATTCTTGCCCATGGCCACTAGCTTCTACACATGCATCGGTCCTAAGGGGAAGCAAAAGCACGCCATCACATCTTCCCTATTTCTTCTCGGTTGCCTTGCAAAACTGAACATGAAAGTATGGTGGTGGCCCCAAGGGCACCCTTCTCCAAGCCATTCTCTTACAACCAACCCTTGGTGGTAGGGATGAGCAAGCTAATTGTAGATGCCAAATATTGCTTCATATTTGTAATTTCTGTATGCCATTCATTATTCTCTGTGTTTACCAAAAGCCACCACTGTTGTTTCCCCCATGTTTTTAATCTGGAATATTTTCCCCTTTTTATATTTTAGAGCTGCAGAATTTACTCGACTTCAAAAATTAGTCCACATACTGATTGTTCTCAATTTATTTCACAGTAAGAGAAATTTTACAATTTTCAACTACCAGAAAGCCATTTTAACAACAGATTTCTCACCATAAATAATATAAAATTTTAACTATGGGTTTCTACAACTTGAAATGAAAGAAAGCCAAATTAATGTTCCTGTTTATAAAATACTGTGGCCTCAATATATGGCTTCATTAACTTCCTATACATACATTCTTAAAATTATATTTGAGTTAATAGCACCTGTTTATATAAAAAAGATGCATTTTGCAGTTTAATGAAGTACAATGCAATGCACTTCATTAAGGCAAACATTTAATTAACAAATTTAAAATACAAGTTACAGAGTACAGTATTCTTTTCAGCAATTCACTGTATTGACCATTATACAATACTTCAGGAAAAACTAAAGACTACATCCTATCAGCAGCAATCCTAATGACATCATTAGTTTTGCCTTTGTCACAGCATTTTGCTATGATTTACAATACAATTAATATTTATTAGCAAGTTGGCAAGTACATATTTCACACAAATACTTCAGTTAAAAGTAATTTAATACTGAATAAAGATTTTGGCAGAATGTTAGACACTAAATTTCAAATTGATCTAAATATTTTGTTAGAATACCACCAGTGTGATTTCAGTAGTTTGACACAACACATTTAATGCAATTATGCTATTATTATACTAAATCGAAATTCCAACTTGCAGTTCTCTTTATTAAGAGAAAAACTGATATTTGCAGTAACTCCATAAGAGATGTTTTCACCAGGCCATCTTCAGTAAAGAAAGCAGGGTTTTGAGAATGGTGCAAGATTACTATTTTCCAGTAAACACACACAGGATGAATATTGAGCAATGTTACAATGTTAAAATACTCAAATCAGGTTTATACAGACTCTTTTTGCAGAGGTCTCCAGCATATAAATATTAGAGGGAAGGATTAAAGACATTTACTGCCTTTAAGTGTCACATTCCCTTTAGAACTATCTTGAATAGTAATATTTTAAACTACAAAGAGAGAACTTTGCATATTTTAGTTCTTTATTCAACTGCTTTTTTGCAGCACACTGAAAACCAGTGTTTCAGAGGAAGCTAGATTCAAATTTCCCTAATGGGCAAGGAATGTTATTTTAAGATCTAGACAAGGTTCCTAAAATACGATTTTCAGCTAGGATTCTCAGTTAATACAATCCATAGATATTTTTGTTTCTCAATGTTGCTGGTATGTAGATGGCTCCCAGTCTATAGGCTGTAAAAAGCCTAGCAAGAGTCAAGGAATGTGACAAAAAGTAGCATGAATTGAAATCGTAACACAGATACAAGAAGTGCCAGTTGGCAAGATCAAATCACAAATATTTTAGGGCAATTCAATTGTCAAAACAAGCATTTTAATTAAATGCTTGTTTTGACAGCCAATGTAATAAGGTGGCTAAGATTCATGTGTATGAAAATAGAGACTCAAACCTAGCAAGAATAACTTCAACATTATACTAGTAATTTCACATCAATCAATAACATCATATTATCATGATAAGGGCTGAACATATTACAGTCCCCACCAACACTAAATTTGCAAATCCAGTTGTAGAACTCTGAAGCTTGTATTATACATATTGCTGAGAAAGGTTTGTTTGTACCCAGCATATCTTGAGACAGAATATTTTCTTTTTCTCAGTCATTTGCTAAAGCTTATGATTTGGTATACTGAGGGAAAATACATTTTCTCCTTTGACTCTTAGAAGTTACCAAAGAAAAACACTGTATCATCCAATAAGATACACTTATGTGAGGTGATGAATGATTTTCATTTTCATTTCTGGCACCAGCCTACTATACAAGTCCTTGCATACTTAATAGTTTGAGGGCTGATTTCTCTAAAGCAGAAGAATTTTTTCATAAACCATATAAAATGTTTCCTTCATGATTTTAATTTCTCAATTAAGCAGTTTGCCAGACTACTCAGGAAAACCTCTAAGAACTTAAATTTTGCAGTTTACTAGGAATTATAATGACATATTTTTGTGTTTTCCGTCTTTACCTGAATGACAGCTGAGCCCAGACAGATCAGACATTTTGTCTCAAGACCAGACACCTCTCAAAGTTTGAAAGTAGCCTAGCATACACTTAATGAGTATCTCATAAAGTTCAAAAATGCATAGGAATAAAAAATAAACAGTCTTTTCTTGTACATGCAATAATATTTTTGCCTTTGTCACAGCATCTGGGCTATGATATATAATTATGTTAATACTTATTCTACTACTGCAAGCTCATTGCATTTATGGCATGTACAATACTTCAGTGCCAATTAGCAAGCATTAATAAAACAAATCTTGGAAAAAAAACTGTTCTTATTCAAACAATATTTAAAATAAGAGGCCTATCATTATCAATGGACAGTTTTAAATTTGAAGCACTCTGAAAGAGTATCCCAACACATCTTTCCTCTGCTATATATTTACATGACGGCCAGTGAAATTTGAAAAGAGCATCATTTTTCTTGAACAGATGCTATACAGTTAACACTGTAGGCACAGAGATGCCTTAGAAACAACTGCATGGGGAAAAAATCTTAATAAAGATGATGCTGGTGATTTAACAAGACTCACAGAGTTTCAGTCAATTGGAGGTAGGTGCTTGTCAATGAACTGTTTAACATCCATCATTTCCTGTTCAAAGATTAAAAAACAAAAACCATCTAGTTAATTTATTAGTAACATTTCAAGAGTTATTCATAATATACTTCAAGGAAAAAAGGCATATAGTTTAATACTTTACAATGTAGGGAAATGTTTACTTTGATAAACGACATACTCCCTTTTGTTCCCATACTAAAATCAGATGGTTTTTACATGCAGATGTAAAAGTGCTATAATGAAAGGTATTTGGAAAAAATAGGACCCTAACGCATGAATAGTAAAGAAGCTAAACAATGTTGAAAATAGTAGTTTAAAAATAGTATTTTTAGTCTGCTGTCTGAGTATAAATTAGATTAAAATCTTGTCGGGGACATTCATTTACAAATACATGATTTTTGGAATTTTGAGATCTGATCGCTCTGTTTTCTTTATTAAAATCAACATGACGCCACTGATAAGACCACAGATTTACTTTAAGTGCCATATTTTCTGTGACAAAGAGAAGAGTACAGGTGTAAACAGTTTGGAGAAGTATTCATGCAGTGCATTGGAAGAACTGAACAGCGACAGATAAAAAACACTTTGAAGCAGGGGTGGGGAATTTTTCATCTTCCAAAAGTTTTGGCCCACAGTTCCCATCAAGTGCAGCTACTATGGTGCTCAAGGGCCATAGATGCTGAAACATCTTTCCAATGAGTCTACTCCCTCTAATTAAAACATTCAACTTTTTTTTTCTTGTAAAACAGTCCTTACCTCAATACACGAGCTATGCATCATGCCTGAATATGTCTTGAAAGTTACATTGCCAGGATTTATCATAGTCTTTAATGTCTCAGAAGTGACAGAACCAAACATTAATGGGACTAAAGGATCACGGTCACCATGGCACTGAAGAATGGAAATGTCTTTGTTGACACAGTTGATGGGGCCCTATGAAAAAGTTAGAAAAATCTCAGATAATAATAAGTAAAAGATATGCTATTCAGTTAATTATTATTATACAGTACTTTTATTTCAGCCTTCTTCCAAGCAGCCAAGTTCATTCCATTGCCCCTTTCATCCATAAGTCAACCTATTCACTTAGGCTGACAGGTACTAGCTTTTCAGTGTCATTTAGTCAGCTTAATGTCTGGTGAGAATTACAATACAAATGTTCCTGGTCTAGCACCTCACCATTACACCAACATGGAGATCATATGGCTTGTGGCTACCATGAAGACTTCTGTACTCCCTAGCCTTCCCACAAGCATGTCAGTTTTGAACAGATTTAATCAAAAATTCAGTTTTCAGTCAAAAAATATCTGTGAACAGTTTGGGATTTAGGGGTGGGGATAGGGACAGACAAAATCCTGTCAAAAAGATGCTAGCTAAGTTCAAACACTGCTAGGGATACAGATTTGGAATCAAGGGAGATATTCTTTCAGATTTTCCAAATCCATTAAATGGTAATCATGACTTGGAATTTTCCTTGAGCAAATAAACCTCTGCTATTTAAGTGTAAAACAATTCCATCAAGGGATTTTTATCAGCTCCTGTCATATTTCACTCAACTGAATGAAAACAAATATTACAAGTTTCAAAATTAATCTGACATTTTAAAGGTTCAGCTATTTTAAAAGATTTTCATAGAAGTGATGCAAGTAGTATTTCATATTATCATATACAAAAACAAAGATTGTTTATTTTTAGTTTCTTTTTTTGTCTAAGATGGCAATAAATAAAATATGAGATTTTCAATGGCTATTGATTAATCAGGATAGCTAATATCACTATTCTAGGCAGTATATCCTTGTGTATCAGTTGCTCGGGAATTTAAGCAACAAGTGAAACTGCTTTAATGTCCTGATGGTGGGCCTCTCCAGGCAACTGTCTGTATGAACAGAAAGTTTGGGCTAGAAAAGCCTGTTCCAGCATAGCTGTTACTATACTCTGAATGTGTATTTATGTTCATAGTCTGAGTCCAGATTTATGCAAGATATTAGGATACTAAGTGAGTTTTATTATACTCTAAATAAATACAGTATAACACAATAACACTCACTTGGCATTCTAATATCTTGCATAAAATCATGAAACCCTTGGTTTAGGTTAGGCCACAAAAAGATGCTTGGAAATAGTCTTTACATTACTATAAGGATAACTGGGAGAAATTTGCTTTCCTGTTATGCTTGTTGAATATAGAAATATGAAGTAAAGCTAACTATAATTTCAAAGTAGTGATCTCTGTTATTATAAATTCAAGGAAAACTGTATATCACCTGTGGAAAAGAAGTCCGCAGTGGAAGCCAACAGCTGAGTGCTACAACACCCCCCAACTTCTGATGCGTTGTGAGGGCTGTGTACAATGATAAAGCTCCTCCCTAAAGAAACCATATATAAAGCTTATTACTAAAGTCTTAAATCACATAATGACTAACAGCATTGTAAAATATGTTTTCAACTATGTTTCTAACCCAAACTGTATTTGTGCATTTTAAATGGTTATCAGAAAAGGAACTCAAATTTAACGCACACATACGTTTTAATCTACCCATATTTACTTGAGTCTAATGCACCATCGAATCTAATACACACCTCAATTTTCAAAACCCTGAAACAAAAAAAAAAGTATTTGCTGCTGAATATAATGTGAAGCAGCAAAAAGTGCACTTTTTGTAATTTGGCCAAAATAGGTGTGCATTACTGTTGCTGCCTGCTTAGAATTCATTATAAAAATGTGTTAAAACACAAAAGCTTCCAGCTATGGAAAAGAAAATCTTGGGATCCATCTATGCTGTAGAATGAATCCACTTTAATTGCCTTGGTTCAATGCTATGGAATTCTGGGGGCTATAGTTGGACAAGGTTTTGAACTTTCTCTGCCAAAGAATACTAGTGCTTCACCAAACTACATATCCCAGGATTACATAGCATTGAGCCATGGCCATTTAATGAGAGATGACGTCTCTCAAGGAAGAGCTCCAGGTGCCACTCCTGAACCTTTGCTTTGGCCCAGTACTAAGATTACTGTATGATGTGAATCTAATACATACCCCAATTTTGGCAAGATCATTAAGCCAAAAAAGGTGAGCATTAGATTCAAGTAAATACGGTATTTACATCTATCATCCTCAAAACGTGTGCCCTCTTGAGGCATTATGTACATCACTCCCTCATATCTGTAATAACAACCTTATGAGTCACTTTCCACTGAATTATAGAATGTTTTCTAATGAACCCTGCCCTAAGAAAAACTATTTTTTATTAAGAAAATGTGCAACTTTGCAGATGATGTCCAACTCTGTCACTCTTTCCCACCTACTACTAAGGAGGCTGTTCAAGTCCTAAACTGGTGCTTGGTCGCTGTAACGGACTGAATGAGGGCAAGCAGATTGAAACTAAATCCAGACAAGACAGTGGTACTCCTGGTCAGTTGAAAGGCCGAACAGGCCATAGGGTTACAGCCTGTGCTTGACGAGGTTACACTCCTACTGTAGGCGCAGGTTCGCTTGGGAGTGATCCTGGACTCATCGCCTGGAACCCCAGGTCTCGGCGGTGGTCAGGGGAGCTTTTGCACAATTAAAACTTGTGTGCCAGCTGCGCCCGTACCTTGGGAAGTCTGACTTGGCCATGGTGGTCCACGCTCTGGTTACATCCCGTATAGACTACTGCAATGCTCTCTACGTGGGGTTGCCTCTGAAGAGTGCCGAGAAGCTGCAACTAGTCCAACGTGCTGCAGCCAGATTACTGACAGGAGTGGGGTACAGGGAGCACACAACTCCTTTGTTGCATCAGCTCCACTGGCTGCAAATTAGCTTCTGAGCACAATTCAAAGTGCTGGTGTTGACCTACAAAACTCCAAACGGTTCCGGCCCAGTTTACCTGTCCGAACGGATTCTCCCCTATGAACCATCAAGGTTGCTAAGATCTTCTGGAGGGGCCCTGCTCTCGGTCCCACCACATTCACAATCGCGTCTGGTGGGGACGAGAGACAGAGCCTTCTCGGTGGTGGCCCTCTGGCTGTAGAACTCTCTCCCGATGGAGATTAGACCTGCCCCTTCCCTCCTGACCTTCAGAAAGCTAGTGAAATCCTGGCTCTGGGACAGAGCATTCCCAGAAAAATTAGTTGAGTTCAGCAATAACCTAATAACCACTGACCACACTGGCAGACTGAGATGAACGTGATTTTATCTTGGAGATTTAGCTTATATGTATTTATTTTGTTTGTATTTTAACTTATGATGTTATTATGTTTTTAGTTGTATTTGTGTATTGATTTTCTGTTGTTAGTCGGTCTGAGTCCCTCTATGGAGGCAGAGAAGATCGGAGATATAAAAGTTTTAAATAAATAAATAAATAAACTTTCTTTTGATGTATCTTCTATGGAATCTCAATAAGTGGAGGAGAACATAGTTTTACCTGAGAAAATCCTCCCAATATTATTCTGTTTGAAGGTATTCCATTTCTTACTTCTTGCTCTATAAGTGCTTTCACTGCAAAAAAAAGTCTAGTTGTTAATGAAGATAAAAAAATGTCATGTAAAAAACTATATAGCGGCAGTAAAAAGTAGATATGATTCTCACACCAAAGGGGTGGGGACTATGCATGACATATCTCTTGTTCATTCATTCAGGTACTTTAGTAACCTTAATCACAGTTGTATCCACAATTATACACATTCTGTATAAGCCATCACCTTTAAAGTATGAAGCATACACTGCCTTCTCTTTTCAGGAAAGTGATGTTTTTAGACCAGGACATTGTCCCTAAATCTTGCAGCACTTCCAGCTTCTCCATTGTGATATTCCACTAGAGCTTTTTACAAAGATCCTAACTGCAGCCATCAGCTGTTTTATTCCATTGCCTTGTCATTGCTTTAAACAAGGTTTACATCTCAAACTTGACCTTAAGTAATCATTCAGATACAGAGACAAAGATTTCAATAAACCAATGGAAAGAAGTCAGAAGATTCTATTAATAATATAAATTACAGAACTGACCCAACATATCCACAGGATTAAAACACTCTTCCTGGTACATGAGGCTTTATGCAAGTTAGAGACAACTTTACATAATAACTAACTGCAATTAGAAATCAATCTAACATTTTTAAATTCTGAAGGAATTAACCTTTTTTTTTATTAAGTACAACAGTGATATGGAATATACCATTCTCTGATGCCTGCTTGATCCCAGCTTCATCCTCCTGTGAATCTGGAGCCAGTCCAATAATATCAAACCTTAAATAAAACAGTTGCTCTGTTATATTACTCAGGTCTGCAAACAGTGGCATACCTTATAAAACAATATTAGAAAAGTCAAATAGTTCAATCTAGTACAATAAATACCAAGAATTCTTAAGATGTGAGGATATATGTGAAAAAATATCAGAAGACAGACAGAGCCAAATATATTTTGAGATGTTGCAATATATATTCCATATGTATGTATTTCAGTTAACGTGGGAACTCACAACAGTTTTGAATAGGCTCTAAAACTGTCTAACTATGCTATGGAAAAGAACTGGAGAAACGTGAATGCACAGCATAACTCAAATAAAGCCATAGGGTGGGAGAAGTTTGCCCAAGAAATAGCACTTTCCCTCTGTCCTTCCATATGAAATAGCATGTGCCCATGTATCTCTGCTCTCATGGTCCTCTGAACATAAGAGAAGAAGTAGTAAAGGAAAGGACAGGGAAATATAATTAAGAAAATAAGAAATCAACAAAACGTGGCACAGAAAAACATGAAAGATGACCGAAAGCAGTGGTTCTCAACCTGTGGGTCCCCAGGTATTTTGACCTACAACTCCCAGAAATCCCAGCCAGTTTACCAGCTGTTAGGATTTCTGGGAATTGAAGACCAAGACATCTGGGTTGAGAACCACTGACCTAAAGGATTAAAAGCTGTATGTTTGTAATAGGAAAAGCTTGTTGGGCAGAAATAGCACTCGGCAGTGGAGGTACATGATCAGAAGACACGGATAGTGATGGGAAAAAAAGTTGATATGAATATGAAGAAGACTGAAAATCTGAGGAAGATCTGTTGGGTGGATGAAGTTGAAGAAAAGAGATGAAAAAAAGAGATGGGATTGAACGGAACATGACTATAATTCCCAATTTGTCTAGCAGGGCTCCTGTGCTTTTATAGATATAATATAATAAATTTAGATTTTCTACATCTAGTAGAAAAGGCTCCTGTTATACATTATTGCATTTTGTGCAGATTTTAAAAGCACCAGCCAGTTATTCAACTCTCACAAGTTTTACAAACATGTTGAATTGAAAACCGACTGTTATTTTATTTCTTGGCTTATTGCTGTACTTTTCAACAGTTCCTACTTACAATGAGGCTTCACACAATTAAGTACAATATTTGCTAACAAATAGTGTAGAAATCTAAACTTTCTTCATTTCTTCTTGCCATCTGCTGTCAAACACAGAGAAACAGATGGCAGCCATTTTCATCCATCATTTTACCAAATAGTAGCCAACACAAATCTTCTCATATTTCCTTCAATATAACAAATATAGTTCTTAAGGATATGAGATTGCATGGTCAGAAGTAGAGAAGACGATAAGCACCCAAAACTCACCCATTTTCTTTATTACTTACCAAGAAGGCATGGCCATATTCATGTTTAAAGAAACCGGCATAACTGGCCTAGAAATTGAAGAAAAGTTAAACACAGAAAGACCCTGAATCTTGAAAAATACAAAACTTGGTAAATGTCATGAAAACTATCACTTCCTCCCTGTAAGACAATGATTGTCATGATGACAGATGAGTTTCCTGAGTGAGGATGAAGGAGAGAGGAAAAAGTATTATTTTGCCTTCTTCCTTCTGTTCAAATGCCTGCCCTGCCTTAACTTAGTGACCTTCCCAGACAGTATATTGAATTACATGTACTGCTCCATTTGTGTACTTTAACACAGCAAGTAGCTAAGCAAAATATATATCAAAAGTTTTACTTTTGGGGGTTTGTTTCTATCATGGAACATAAGACATGCTGTATTAAAGTCTTCCCCCTACTTTTTCAACTGTAGTTCCTAATATGACTAATACAGAGCATATCAAAACTAGATTTGGGGGAAAAGACAAAACTACTTCTGAAAGATTTCATCCAGGCTGTTTTTCTAGAAAAAAAAAAGCACATTAATTAATAATTCTGGATTCCTTATGTGTTCTTGAGATCCTCATTGTCAGCCTCATCCCATCACATCCTACATCTGTTACCACAAACACTGCTCTCATGGGTCCAAACCAACATTTGAGAAATTGAATCCTTCAACAAAAATAGTTATAAGCTATTTGGAAAAATGTATTGTCGAAGGCTTTCATGGCTGAAATCACTGGGTTGTTGTAGATTTTTTCGGGCTATATGGCCATGTTCTAGAGGCATTCTCTCTCCTATTTTGAAAAACATGCACTTAATTTGACAACATCTAGATCCTCTTCTTAGGGTTTAATTTCAGTGATTTGATATAGGCATCACTTCTAGTCTAATAACTAGTAACCACAATAACAACATGGGAAACATAATTTACTGGTCAGTGTCTGCTCCATGATGCAGATGCACATCACAATTTACTTGCACGAAAGTGATGCTCACTTCTGCCAAATAAGCAAACACAGGACACTTGGGAAAAAACCAACTAGGCCTAGGTAAAACTGTTAAATTGTATTTACTGGCAATAATGAATACTTTATGAAGAACCACAGCTATTTATTTGTTCTTACAGAAAGCCATTAAGATTCTGTTACTCTCTGTTATTCTCTATTAGCAATTTAATCTTGTTGGGAAACTAGCCAAAAAACATGAAAGTACTTACGCATGTGGGCAAATATACTTTATGTGTGGGCTTCGAATGCCAGCAAATGCTTCTGCCCACCCATGCCTGTTGGAACATGCAGAACAAATGATCATTCAAATTCTTTCATTAATACTCAAATTAAAGTTTTGTAATCTCCACAGCTTTCTCCCCCCAAAAACCCCCAAAGGCAATACAGATATAACATGACCATTAGAAATCCCAAAAGCAAGGATTGTAAAAGTGGTTTAAGTAAAACTCCAGCTACCATTTGGTGTCATACAAGAACATAATGACCTGTGGTTAAGGGCCATTCCAAAGAGAAAGGGAAAAACCAGTACTGCTCCAGTGATCCAGCTGGCCCTGACTGCCACTGCCACCACATCCCACCCAGGCATTTCGGAAAGGCCAGAAGCAGCACCATTTTTGGAGTTAATTTTCCAACAAACATTTCTATATTTATACATGAGTATGTACTGTAAGGGGCGTTTTCAAAGGGCGGGGTCACACAACATGCAAATTGTTTACTTACCCAGTATCTCCTAATCCATGAAGAAATATAACCTAGAAAACAATGGCATAAAGATGAGATTATTAATGTAAAAGATTACATGGCTAAAAGCCTGTGTGAATAGATCTTATTCTTCAGTACAGCACTTGCTTTTGAGCACTCACATATATTGTGATCTGTGCAATAAACCTTGATGAAAGTAGCTTGTATGATCAGGATTGAAGGCATCAGGGCCAACAAGACCATTTAACTGAGGCTCTTGCACAAGCGCTAGGCCCCAGCTGTAATCTTGCTAACAACTTTATGTCAAAAACTGCACCCTCATCTGACACACAAAGGTATCTATCTATAGCTACATATACACATGCAATGATAGAAGTATGAAAGGTAGATTATTATAAAGGTTACAAAAATAATGGCATCTATAAAAGTTTGCTACTAATAAACGCTTTAAAATATTTCCATATCTCCTTAATATTAGAATTCAGATTGTTATGCTGATTTCATCCTTTCTGTACTCTAACAAATTGTCTTCTTGACTTTTAAAAAAGTATTGAATAACTTTTTTATAACTACTGATATTCAGAACTCTCACTAGTGAAGACACTTGTTGAAATGTGTCTGTTAAACAACTGTTCAAAACGTCTACCCCTCCCCCTCCTGTTAAGCTCTTCTAGGGCATTCAAAACTGACTTTGTTTGGTACAATGCCAATACAATGCATTTTGGCTTGTGTTCTGTTATTGTTCTCTTGATGAGCTCCCTCCACATCATTATTTGCTTACTCGTATAAGAAGCATTCATCAGCAGTAGTTATCTTGAAATCTGGGACACTTCCAAGGAAAAATGCAGAGGACAGTGCTGCACGTACTTTAGGACTAAAACTATGGGGCAAGCAGGGAGGAGTAATCCAACAATGAAATGCAGAAAAAATTACCCATCAAACAAAGCTGCTGTTATTTACAAACACCTTTTAAGCAACTTCCATTTGGCCTCCATATCACATGAAGAAATCCTTAGGTCTTGCACTTGTGGTATATTGGGTGGTATATATAATAAGATTTCTAGAAATCAGAAATCTATTGGCATCATTAATATAGTTGTGATTTAGACTGATAAGGTCTAACTAACTGTAAGTTTTCCAAATAGGAAACAAAGTGTGAACACTCATAACCAGTTACCAATAAGAAACTGGATGCTGCTTTATATGTCCATGTTTGTTTCATAGAATCATAGAATCAAAGAGTTGTAGGATATAGGATCAAACCAATCATTATCTGACATCATATGCCCTTAAGAGAAATGACTACATATTTTTTTCCTTTCCCAATGAGCACAATCAGGGCCAAGAGTCACACCAGCCTAACAAAAACCTGGATGCCACCTGGATTTCTTAAAATTAGAAAAAAGCTGAGAAATATCCAGCAGCAAGAGAATCACATGAAGAGCCTTGAGAACTCAAATGTTTTCATTCATTCTCAAGAACTGTTGATTTTGAACTTTCCTGTATGGTAACTAACACTAAAATAATTCATTTAACTAATTCAGTTTTGGTTGTTTTAATCTATATTTTCACATTCACGCAGTTTGGAAAGAGATAAGAGGTGATGAAGTGTGATACTGCAGCGAAATGTTTCATCCAATGAGAACATGAACATGCAGGCTTCTTTCTGGAAACATTTTGAACAATTCGTGTCACGCTCCCAACACTCAGGCTGCATCTCCACAGTATAATTAATGCAATTTAACACCACTTTAACTGCTATGGCCCAAGGCTATGGATCCTGGGAGTTCTACTTTGGTGAGGCACCAGCATTATTTAGCAGAGCAAAATAATTCCTAAGATTCCATAGCATAGAGTCATGCAGTTAAAGTGGTGCCAAATTGTATTAATTCTACTGTAGAGATGCACCCTCAGTTCTGATTTTATTTCTACTTAAACACCACTGATTCCCCACCTACCCCCATGTGCCAATAAGGCAAAATACATAGTTTGGGATCTTGAAGAGTGGCACTAAGGTTATTACTTATATATTGGTAAAAATTAGGACAACAGAATCTGAAGTAAGGTAGTTAAATGGCCCTCGATTTCTCTTAGCATTTTTAAGTCCAAAGTGCTAAAATGTTCTTCTAGAAGACAAGAATTTGCAAGTGTACTCCTGACATCGTAGCACTGGTCTTTCTTTAGCTGGTTTCTGGAACTGCCTGAGGCAGGCATATCTACATCAGTGCTGCTTACTCAAAGCGGTGTGTAGGTGCCACTGCATTGCCTGTCTGACTGTAGTGTGTTTCCAGGAAGGAAAGCAAAAATTATAGTCAATGAGTACAAACAGGATACTGATCCCTGGCACCTTGGAGGAAAAATTACAATTGTTGTCCTCTCTTCAGATAGCTTTGGAGGCACTGATCTGAACTATAAGGAGCTTTTCATGTTAAACCTAAAGATACAAGCAGGTGGCCAGAGCAAAATCCCAGACTTAAAGGGGAAGTAGGGGTACCAAAATTTTACCAAGTGTTTGAACTTTCTAGTAATAACCACTATGCTAGAAGGAAGAATGAAAAAAATATTTCACTAGAAAAGAAGGATGGATATAATTATACACAGTGTTTCAAAACGATGGACCCAATTTCAAAGCAGTCTAGTTCACAATGGCAGCATATTACAATTGCACAAAAAGTTATGGTACTGTTTTATTATATGGGCAGAGGCCACAAGGAAGGCGCTAGACAGAGAAGGATAATCCATTTTATGGGGGGAGTTGAAGTCCAAAACACCTGAAGGGCCCAAGTTTGCCCATGGCTGATCTAACAGCATAGAACCACAGCCAAACTGCATCAGTTCTGCCGTGTAGATTCACCCCTATGGTTGGCCAGGGGAGTACCACTCTAGACATAATTCAGTTATTTCAACTACCATTTTCACTGGTTATTCCCCTTCCCCACTTCCCATTTCAGAAACAAGGGTTGCTTTCACAATGGGGACATGGGTGGGGGGTATAACAGGTTTTACTCCTTCAAACACCCCCCCCCCCACTATCTGTCTAGCGCCCCCTTGTGGCCTCTACCTGGATAATGGAACAGTGCCAAAGTTAGGAACAGTTATCAAGTTTTGCTAATCATTTTGGATGAAAAAAAATCTTAAAAATAACCCGGCAAATGAAGAATATCTCATTACGCCTTATGTCTTGGGAAGGACTGAGGCTAGAGGCTGTTTGTGCACCGGAAGAGACATATCGTGATAATCATTTGAAGCTCTGTGTCCTTTGCAACTCTATGCCAGACCCTTTCAATTGGTATGAGTTTCATTCCTGGGCAGTTCTTGTTTGCAGAATTTCAAATACAGGAATTTCAAATCAGATCCATCTTTTTGAAACACCCAGTACATGATAATTTTCTGTTCAAAAGATGAGAAGTCGACACAATGGGATTGCTTGGGGGTGAGGGAATAACATAATTGGGAGCTAACACTGTACAAATGTTAGGAATTACTGTTTAAGGATCCATACGTTTGTGTATATATGAGTCACTTTTCTTTTTGTTGTTGTTAAACATGCAATATACTCAATACTGACCTTACTGAGAGGCAAGGAAGATGCCAAGCGAACTCCTGAACTATACCAAGCCATGGGGATGTGTCCACACTGCAACATTACAGCAGTTTTCTACCACATTGATTACAAATTTGTAGTTTTTAAACCTTCTTTGACAGAGAGCCCTGGTGCTATAACAAGCTACAAATCCCAGAACTCTATAGCATTGAACCATGGTAGTTGAAATAACTGAATTATGTCTAGAGTGGTAATCCCCTGGCCAGCCATGGGGGTGAATCTACACCGCAGATCTGATGCAGTTTGGCCGTGGGCAAACTTGGGCCTCCAGGTGTTTTGGACTTCAGCTCCCATAATTCCTAACAGCCTACCGGCTGTTAGGAATTGTGGGAGTTGAAGTCCAAAACACCTGGAGGCCCAAGTTTGCCCATGCCTGTGTTAGATCCTGGAATCTGTAGCTCGGTGTCTGAGACTGCTAAGGACCTTATCAAACTACAACTCCCAGAGTTCCATGGCACTGAGCCACAGAGAAGCAGGGGCGTGAGGCTTCTTTTCGTTACAGGGAGGCGGGGTCGGAGGGATCCGAGGCCTCCGAGGCCATTGGTCAGGCCGCCACACCCTCCCATGGCCGCCTCCGCGGAGGACTCTCAAGCGGCTTCACTTCGGCTCCTTGGGCCTCACTCACCGCGGCAGTGGCCTTCCTGGCGGCCGGGATGATGGCGGGGAGCGGGGCGGACATGTTGTTGCCGCACATACACTGGCCTCCTCTTCTCCTCCTCCTCCTCCGGCGGCGGCCAGTAGGAAACTAACAGATGGGGAGGCGGCCGAGTAGGGCGGGGAAAAGGGATTGGCGCGGATTAGGCGCTGCCCCGCCCCCCCTCACGCGCACGCCGTTAAACCCTGAGAGCAGCTGGGCGCGCGCGAGGCTCCGCCCCCTTGCCTCACCCCGCCATAGGCAGGATGAGAGGGGGGCGTTGAAGGAGCAGCTTGAACTTCAACTCCCGTCATGCTTCACCGTAGCCTGCACTGGCTAGGGATGGCGGGAGTCGTAGTTTCAACTGCAACTCCAGGCCTCGTACCGCCTTCTACCACTTTGGAGTGGCTGGGGCATTGGTTTTGTGGCAAGAGGCCGGCGCTTGCTTGCAGACCCGACTTCACGGTGGCTCTTGATGCCCTCACGCGCACGCCCTGAGAGAAGCTGGGCGCGCTCGACGCTCCGCCCCTTTGCCTCAACATAGGAAGGATTTATTTATGTATTTATCGTGTCAGGAGCGAACCAAACAGTTGTATTGCATTTAAAAAAACAAATAAACAAAACACAAAGTGTGCAGACTTGGTATTCTATTAAATGCCCTTTGACCAGTAGCTGGCCACTTGGAGTGCCTCTGGTGTTGCTGAAAGAAGGTCCTCCACTGTGCATTGTGCTCAGGCCACACTGTAGTAGATGGTCTGTGGTTTGCTCTTCTCAACACTCGCATGTCGTGGATTCCACTTTGTAGCCCCATTTCTTAAGAATGGCTCTGCATCTCGTGGTGCCAGAGCGCAGTCTGTTCAGCGCCTTCCAAGTCGCCCAGTCTTCTGTGTGCCCAGTGGGGAGTCTCTCATTTGGTATCAGCCATTGGTTGAGGTTCTGTGTTTTGGCCTGCCACTTTTGGACTCTTGCTTGCTGAGGTGTACTAGCGAATGTCTCTGTAGATCTTAGAAAACTATTTCTTGATTTAAGGCATTGGCGTGCTGGCTGATACCAAGGGGGTGGGATGGAGATGTCACTGCCTTGGTCCTTTCACTATTGGTTGCTACTCCCTGGTGGATGGCAGGTGGTGAAATACAGGCTAAACAGTGTAATTTCTCCAGTGGTGTAGGGCGCAAACACCCCGTGATAATGCGACGTGTCTCATTAAGAGCCACATCCACTGTTTTAGCATGGTGAGATGTGTTCCACACTGGGCATGCATACTCAGTAGCAGAGTAGCATAGTGCACTGCAAGGGCAGATTTCTTCACTGTATCTGGTTATGATCCCCAGGCTGTGCCAGTCAGCTTTCCTATGATACTGTTTCTAGCACACACTTTTTGCTTGATATTCAGGCAGTGCTTCTTGTAGGTCAGAGCACGGTCCAGAGTGACTCCCAGGTATTTGGGTGTGCTGCAATGCTCCAGTGGGGTTCCTTCCCAGGTAATCCGCAGAGTTTGGGATGCTGGTCTGTTCTAAAGGTGAAAAGCACATGCCTGTGTTTTAGATGGATTAGGGATCAGCTGGTTTCCCCTGTAATAGGCAGTAAGAGCACCTAGAGGTTAGGAGAGCTTCTGTTCAACCATCTCAAAGCTCCCTGCTTGGGCGGTAATGGAAGGATGAGAGAGAGAGAGAGAGAGAGAGAGAGTAGTTGAAGGTACTGGTTGAACTTCAACTCCCGTCATGCTTCACCGTAGCCTCAGCCAGCTACGGATGGCGGGAGTCGTAGTTTCAACTACAGCTCCAGGCACCATACGGCCTACTACCCCCTTGGAGTGACTGCTGGAATTGGTTTTGTGGCCCTTGCTTGCGGACCCGACTTCATGGTGGTTCTTGATGCTTGATGTCATTTCTCTTTGTGAGAGTTCCCCACACTCTTGTTTTCCAGGCTTTTGGACTTCAGTTCCCAGGTGCCCTGATCATTAGCCACAGCAGCTGAGGCTTCTGGGAGTTGGAGTCCAAGGCTGCTGGAAGACTTGAAGTGGGGAAAATTAAATTAAGGCCGCTTTAACCGCCATGGTTCAGTGGGAGTTGTAGTTTTACATGGTCTTTAGTCTTCTCTGCCTCACCAAACTACAGAACAATGATCCTATGGCATTGAACCAGGACAGTTAAAGTGGGGGATCCAACTGCACCCATTCTACAATGGAGCGCAGTTTTGAAAACAATTCCGGGAGGAGCGTGTCTCTTCCAATTCCTATCTCTACGGCGCGGGCGGTTCTGCGCATGCGCGGAGCTATCGCTGCAGGATGGCGGCGAAAGGAGGGAACCGCGGTAAGGCCCTGGAGTTGCTCCGGACCTTGCCCCGCGTGAGCCTCGCCAACCTGCGGCACAACGATGGCGCCCGGCATCCGGTGAGTTTTGGGGAGCTCTTTGCACAACGAGCTCCTTATTGCCAGCTTCTTGTCTAAGAGGTCTTCTCCATGCGCGACAAGGGGCCTTGTGCCTTTAAGGGAAGCAAAACCGGTCGGAAGTCAACAATCTTCTTCTAGCTATATCTTCTATATCTTCTATCTATCTATCTATCAATCTATCTACTTATCTATATAAATGCTCTGTGCATAATGAGTACCTTAAAAACAAAAGAACCAATGAACGAAATCACACCAAATTTGGCAACAAAATGTCTCACAACACAAGGAGTGACCATCACTCAAAAATTGTGATTTTGTCATGTGGGAGTTGTAGTTGCTGGGATTTATAGTTCACCTACAATCAAAGAGCATGCTGAACTCCACCAACGATGGAATTGAACCAAACTTGGCACACAAAACTCCCATGACCAACAGAAAAATACTAGCAGCGTTTGGTACGCATTGACCTTGAGTTTGGGAGTTGTAGTTCACCTACATCCAGAGAACACTGTGAACTCAAACTATGATGGATCTGGACCAAACTTGGCACAAGCACTCAATACGCCCAAATATGAACACAGATGGAGTTTGGGGAAAATAGACCTTGACATTTGGGAGTTGTAGTCACTGGGATTCATCTACAATCAAAGAGCATTCTGAACCCCACTAACAACAGAATTGGGGCAAACTTCCCACACAGAACCCCCATGACCAACAGAAAATACTTAAGGCCATCCAGTCCAACTTCCTTCACCAGGGCAAGAAAACGTAATCAAAGCCCTCCTGAAAAAGAGACATCCAGCCATAGATATAGATAGATATGATTTACACACACACAAATATAGTATCATAGATTTGAAAGGGACCCCTAAAGAAGGACAGTGATATCTTGCATGTTCCAGGGTGGGCAAACCAGACACTCTCCAACATCAACACTGACAAAGAAACAGCAAGAAATACTGTTTACCCACAAGCATAAAGAAATTACATATATTAGAAACCAACACTTTCTCATTACTTTATTTTCCATATCAACAGACTGGGCCACAGCAACATGTGGCAGGGGACAGCTAGTATATAAATAAAAATGTAATGTTCGTTTGTGGGATTAACATAATTCAAAAACCACAGGGCAAAATGACACAAAATTTGGCCAGAAGACACCTAACGGACCAACAAGTGACCTTCACTCATAAAAACACTGAAAACGCAGTGGAAGGGAGTTTAAAACCCCAAAACCCTAAATGATGATATAGTGCATGTGTAGAAACAACTCCCCTGACCCCACATCCTCCTGCTCAAGGGAAAGAGCTGGCCATCCCAGCTTTGAGAGGAAAGATAGAGTTAGAGAAGTAAGAAAGGAGAGAAAGATGAAGGGAAAGAAAAAAGTGGGGAAGGAAGGAAAAGGGGAGGGAAAGGGAATTAAGGAGAAAAGGAAAGAAATAAAGAGCGAAAGTATGAAAGCAGAAGGGAAGGAAGGAGAGAAGGAAGGAAAGAGAGAAAGAATGAAGGAAAGAGACATAGGAAAGGATGGAGAGAAGGAGGAAAGGGAAGGAAGGAGAAAAGAAAGGAAGGAATGAAAGAGGTAGAAAAAGAAGGAAGAAGAGAAATAGGAAAGGAAGGAAAAAGCGAGGAAGCAAGGAAAAAGGGAGGGAAAGGGAAGTAAGGAGAAAAGGAAAGAAATAAAGAGGGAAGGAATGAAAGCGGAAGGGAAGGAAAGAAAGAGAAAGAATGAAGGGAAGACATAGGAAAGGATGGAGAGAAGGAGGAAGGGAAAGGGAAGGAAGGAGAGAAGAAAGGAAGGAATGAAAGAGGTAGAGAAGGAAGGAAGAAGAGATATAGTAAGGGAAGGAAAAAGCGAGGAAGGAAAGAAAACAGGCACGGCTGGCGGGGACGAGGGACAGGGCCTTCTCTGTGATGGCCCCTCGGCTGTGGAATGCCCTCCCCATGGACATTAGATCAGCCCCTTCACTAATGGTGTTCCGAAGAAAACTAAAAACCTGGCTGTTTGAACAGGCGTTCGGATAAATAGTGCAATGAACACGATGAATATAGGAAACGGAATTATGGATGACGAATTGGATCACGATTTTAGTTACGAGACGTTAATGTGTTGTTATTGAGATGTCATTAGTTTGTATTTTATACTGTTAATGGTTTTAATATTGTATGTTGTTGGACTGACTTTTGCTCTTGTTGTGAACCGCGTTGAGTCGCCTACGGGCTGAGAAACTGCGGTATACAAGCAAAGTAAATAAATAAATAAATAAAAAGGGAGGGAAAGGGAATTAAGGAGAAAAGGAAATAAATAAAGAGCGAAGGAATGAAAGCGGGAGGGAAGGAAAGAAGGAAAGAGAGAAAGAATGAAGGAAAGAGACATAGGAAAGGATGGAGAGAAGGAGGAACGGAAAGATATACAGGCACATTTCTTGTTGGTTTAAACCAGGGGTCCTCAAACTAAGGCCCGGGGGCCGGATGCGGCCCTCCAAGGTCATTTACCCGGCCCTTGCTCAGGGTCAACCTAAGTTTGAAATGACTTGAAAGCACACAACAATAACAACAACAATCCTATCTCATCAGCCAAAAGAAGGCCCACACTTCCCATTGAAATACTAATAAGTTTATATTTGCTAAAATTGTTCATTTTAATTATTGTATTTTTTAAAGTGTTTTTGCACTACAAATAAGATATGCGTAGTGCGCATAGGAATTCATTCATTTTTTTTTTTCAAATTATAATCTGGCTCTCCAACAGTTTGAGGGACTGTGACCTGGCCCTCTGTTTAAAAAGTTTGAGGACCCCTGCCCTAAATGATGATATATGCATGTGTGGAAACAACTCCCCTGACCCCACATCCTCCTGTTCAAGGGAAAGAGCTAGCCATCCCAGCTTTGAGCGGAAAGATAGAGGTAGAGAAGTAAGAAAGGAGAGAAATATGAAGAGAAAGAAAAAGTGGGGAAGGAAGGAAAAGGGGAGGGAAAGGGAAGTAAGGAGAAAAGGAAAGAAATAAAGAGGGAAGGAGTGAAAGCGGGCAGGAAGGAAGGAGATAAGGAAGGAAAGAAGGAAAGAGAGAAAGAATGAAGGAAAGAGATATAGGAAAGGATGGAGAGAAGGAGGAAGGGAAAGAGGGAAGGAAGGAGAGAAGAAAGGAAGGAATGAAAGAGGTAGAGAAGGAAGGAAGAAGAGAAATAGGAAGGGAAGGAAAAAGTGAGGAAGGAAGAAAAAAGTTCTTCCTAATGTTTTTTTAGGAGGACTCTTTCTTCCTGTAATTTGTATCCTTTGCTCCATGTCCTAGTCTCCAGAGCAACAGAACACAAGCATTTGGTGGAGGATTTCTTGTTCCCTCCTCAATGTGACATCCCTTAAAACAGTGGCTCTTAACCTGTGGGCCACAGACCACAAGTGGGCCAGGAGGACGAAAATCTGGTCCACGAGCCTCCTTCCTCTTTATTTATTTTATTTCCGCTCCTTTCGCTCCACCTGCCACTCCTTCCATTTTTGCTGACCATAGCATATGTTCTGTATCAGAAGCTAGAGCTGATGTGGTCTATCTGATGCAATTTTCTGAATCAGCACTCCAACCCAAATCTAAAGTTGACCAAAAACCGATCTGTTACGCTTTTGGTACCAATATTGGAGAGTGGTCCTTGGTCAAAGTGGTCCCTGGTCAAAAAAAAGGTTGGGAACCACTGCCTTAAAATATCTAAACATATTTATACAGAAGTAAGTATACATAAAATAGAAGTCTCAAATATTGCATGTTCCAAAACTGTTGCAGAAACATCTCCTTTCTCAAATGCATTGAATTTACCATATATAACAAGCTGATGAAAAATTATTTCTTTTAGGAAAGGAGACGTGGGCGTGGTAGGCATAGAGGTCGGAAAAGTGGCCGAGGTCATAAAGGAGAAAGGCAAAGAGGAACCCGCCCACGCTTAGGATTTGAAGGAGGCCAAACTCCCTTTTATTTAGTTATCCCCAAATACAGCTATAATGAAGGGCACAGGTAAGATGGGTTCCAGAGTTACTGTTGTTCAAATTATTTTCTGTAATCCTTTAACTGCTTAAGTGTTCCTTCTCATTTTAATCACATGGTCACATTTACATTGACTTAAAGTCTCTCAAGGCACTGCACAGTATAGTTCAAATACATAGCTAAAAACATAAAACCATTTAAATACACATGATGAAAAACATAGACATGAGATTGAAACCCATAAAAATCATATCAGTAAAGGGCACATTTAAATTCATAGTTTAAAATCAACTCTAGGCCTGTCTAATTTATTTTTAAAATCAGTGTGTTTAGCTGTCAAATCACTTCCATCACATCATTCCACAGTTTGGGGAGGCTAGTAAAGAGGTCCTCTCCACATATGTGTTCAGTCTTGCACACATGCAACACTGAAGATTGCTCTGTGTTCATTTCCCAACCTATATCCATATAGATCAAGATGTTTGATCTTGCAGTTCCTCTTGGTAAACAGAAACAATACATGAGGGAATTCATAGCACCATAGCAATATTAGAAACCCTTCAATAATGACTCATGGATTACTCGGTGTCTCTTCAGAGTTTTGGCTTCTTTGTCAGGAACTGAAAAAGGTACCAGCAGTACATGACATTCCTGAAGGACAAAACTTAAGATTGAGAGGGCATTGTTCCTCTGCTGTTGCTTGAGAAAGATTTTGTACATTAGAAATCAGGAGCGTTGTATATGATTGGAGTTAATAACTCCCCAATTATTTTCGATTCCAGGTAAAGGAGTTAATAATCTCAAAATGTGTTGCACAATTAATGAGCCATCATTAATTGTTTCCTGTTTCTGTCCATCAATGGATTTACTTTCCTTTGGCTTGGTCAAATAAAAAGAAATATTAGTTTCTCTTCAGAACAATATCTTCTTTATTTTTGCATTTAAAAAATTGAAGCGTAGTTATGTAGTTTTTATTGTGTGTAGAAGTATTTGTAGAGCCCATAAAATAATTTTCAGGTGAAATGACGGGTATAGTTTAAGAATTATAGAAAAGGGGAAAAGAGCGAAAGGTTTCTTGCTCCATTCATGTAAATGAAGTTGGGGCATAGGAAGACAGTCATCACTTTAGCCTCTTGCCCTTGGTTAATGGAGGGCTAGCAGACTGATCTGCTTTACCTAAGTTCTAAGATCACCTTGTGCTGTTTGGGCATATTTTGGTGGTAACACAACACTCCAGTTTCCTCAGGTGTGATGGAAGACACAGCTTTGCACTGCTCCCAGGATCAGCAGGCATGGTTTGGTGTACTATGTTAGTTTTGCAGCCTTGCTCTTGAGTTGTCCACTAAAATGTAGATGCACTGCACAATCTTACACTTCTCGAAGGCAGAGGCACTGCCAAAAATATGATAAAGTGAGTTATAGTGGGTCATCCATAAAAGAAAGAATGTGAAAGTTCTATCTTCATAAATATTTTGTAGAAATGAAACGGTAAGCCTGTTTTCTCGCACTTAAAAGGATCCATGCATAAGATGAAGTGTTTTTGTTTCAGCATTTCTTATTCCATTTCACACAGTTTGTGAAACGGTTCACACTAAGTTTCCACAGTGAAAAACATAAAAGTGCTCCACTACTATATATACACTCCAGTAGTATGGCAGCCTTGAGTCCTCTCAACAGAACTTGTACCAAAGGAACTGTCTGTTGGATAACCCCTTTAGCTTTGCATTTTGAAAGCCTAACTCTGTTTTCTTTTATTTCATCATTGCTACAGTTTCAGGCATCAATATCCTCCCTTGTCCCTCCAGAAGCTGCAGTACTTGATAGATTTAGGTAGAGTTGATCCCACAGAGCCAATAGATCTAACACAGCTGACAAATGCCAGAGGAATAGCAATACAGACAAAGAAAAGACATTATGGCATCCAGCTTGTGGAGGAGGTAGGTCTATAATATATAATATACATTTTAGTTGTTTTAGTTTTTTCAAGTGCAAAAGTGTGATTTATTTATAATTTCTTTGTTTGGAAAGTGTATGAATAATACTAATAAAGCTTTATTTATATCCCACCCCTTCTCTCCTCAGGGACTCAGGGTGGCTAAGTAACTGTAGCTCCACCAGAGGGCATTACAGACTATGAGAGTGTTTACATATTCCTACATTAGAATTCATTAGAGAAATTAAATGATTTGCAGCAAAACCAAGTTTAGAAAGATAAAGGAAGTTTTGATTGGTATCCTAACTTGAGTTATTTGAACCATATTAATAACAGTATCATATTTTCCTCACAATTTTTTGAAATATTGCACATAGAAATAGAATTGAATCCAACAGAAATAAAATAGATGGCCATCTTAGGAATGTATTTTTAGGACAGATGCTAAAGATAGATACAGTTCATGCCATGTGTTTGTTGGAAATGGACTTGTATTTCTCAATAGATCTCACCTGTGCTATAAGCAAGCTTCTCTTAAATCTTGGCGTGCACAAATCTCAATAAAGTCGCTATTGAATATAGCCAAGGTTCCAAAACTATTATCTTTTGCTCTTTATGTTTAGAAAGAATGAAAACTTTATAACTCATGTCCTTGAATGAATGAGACTTACAATATTTATTGAAAGCATTTAACAAAACAATTTATACAGAACAGACAAGAAACAAATTTAAAACTGCTTCCTTACCATGCATGTAAGTTAGAGTGTTAAGCTTCTCCCTGATGTGTAAAATGATTGTAATCTCAATCTAAAGGCGAATTGAGCCCAAAAATTTTCAATTCTCACCTGAATATCTGTAGAGAAGGGATATGCCATTCAAAAAGGTTCCAAAGTTTGGGGGCCACTACTGACAAGGGTCATGTTTGATACACTTATATATATGAACTTGGTGAATCTGAATAGAAGGGATTTGAGTAGAAACCTTTATGTAGAGTTTAGTATTCAGGCAGGACTGTATGCAAGAAAATAGTCCAGATGACCCATTGCTAAGGCATTTCAGGGTTGTACTGACAAAATTTTACACTTCAGGTTACATCCAAAAGTGTACTGTTCTGTCAGTGTAGCTGGGTCAGATCTGGAGTTACGTTTTCAGACTTCTTGGACCTCATTGGTATCCAAGTGGCTGCATGTCAAAAGCATTCCTCTAAGTGCATAGTGGTCAGACAGTCAGACCAATGATAGATTGAATCCTGTGCTGCAAATGAAATTGTGGTAGCTTAATTGCTGTGTATATGATCCACCACATATGACTTCTTCATATATACTTTCAGGGAGCTGATATCTTTAAGGCAAAAATAAATATTGAAGTGCAGATGGCATCAGAATTAGCCATTGCTGCTGTTGAAAAGAATGGTGGTGTTATTACAACAGCTTTCTATGATCCAAGGAGTTTGGGTAAGAAAAAGTCACTGTTTTTCTTGAAGTCTTAGTTCATTACATGAATCAAACACTGATTTTTATTCCAGCCTTTTCATTTTCATTCTTGAAAAATTAGAAATGCTGGCATTATCTTCTTTGCATTTGACTTTACATTGTTGTCAATGAGTGCTAATAAAATATCCCATCTATCACTTCAAAATAGAGATAAAATTTCAAATGTATTAAAGCCAGTCTTCCCCTCTCTGAATTTTCACAAAAAATGAAAAAGCATGATGGAAAAATTAGGAATATAAAATATATTACATATGATATTGCTTAGCATAACAGTTTTGTGTTTGGTATGTTAAAAGAATTCAATAATTACACATTTGGTATTTGAAAATAATGTAGTAATTACAAATAAGACAATAATTACAAATTCATTTTTTTATTGTGAATGAAGCTACAAATTCCTGAACTTTAAAAAACCTCTTCAGTTTTGCCAAGTTAATCAAGGCAAGCAAGATAGAGAAAGAGAAACCCAATACTTATAAAGAGACTATTTTTCCTTTCCTCTTGCTATCCATAGTGCCAAGAAGGCCTAAACCACTCTTTCTAATAAAAAGAACTGTGGAAACTTACTGATAGCGTATGGGGTACAGACCCAAAATTAATTAGAACATCAGCCCTCGCCTTGTCTTACTCAACTGCTTTGTATGCCTGTCCTGTCTGGTATAAATCTCTCCACGCGAAGCAGGTGAATAAAGCACCGAATGAAACATGTAGAATAATCACAGGATATCTTAAGCCAGTGGTTCCCAACCTTTTTTTTTGACCAGGGACCACTTTGACCAGAAACCACTCTCCACCATTAATACCAAAAGGGTTACGAATCAGTTTTTGATCAAATTTAGATGTGGTTTGGTTATTTATGGTACTGATTCTGAAAATTGCATTGGATAGACCATCTCAGCTCTTGTTTCCGATACAGAACATATGTCATCCAGTAGTTGCCATCTGCTCACCCACAGAATACCATATTTAATAATCTAGAGCTGATGTAATCTATCCAATGCAATTTTCTGAATCGGCACCCCAAATAACTACAGGAACAGTCCTAAAAACAACGACACCAAGAAATTATTATTTTTAATTGGGCTGTGTTATCTGCAAATTTTGTTAAAGCTGATGTTAAAAAAAAAAAGAAGGGGAGGGGCCTGAGATTGAAATTTTTTTAAAAAAGTGGAGTGTGAGACCCAAGAAACTGGACCTAATGGCTTTAACAACAACAACAACTTTATTTATATCCTATCCCATCTCCCTGGAAGTACGTGGGGTGGCTTACAAGACACCAACAATACATACAAGAGCAGCATAAAAGATACAACAAAAACCAGGAGAATACAAATATACACCAAAAGAAAATAAAAGTAAAAACATAATAATTAAAATTTAACAGAAAACACCTCACAATAAGCAATAAACATAGCAAAGGATTAAAAGTTTAAAACCGTAGTATACAAACCAGTTTGGATATCCCTGCTACAAATCAAATTAGAAATAAAACTAATCAAGTAACAACAACAGATTAAAATAGACAATAAATAGTTGATGACAGAACATTAAATTGAAGCAAGGCTATTCATTGGTTCAATGTATTGGAATGTATGTTTGTGTGAGGGCTCTTCCCCAGAGCCCTATATCCCAGAATATCAAGGCAGAAAATTCCCAAAATATCTCCTTTGAACTTGGTTATCTGAGCCCACACCCAGATAATGTGAGATTTTCTGCCTTGATACTCTGGGATATAAGACTGTGGAAGGGCCCTTAGTTCAATGCAGATATTGATATTCTGGATTATATAGCCCTTCCACACAGCCATATAACCCAGAATATCAAGACAGAATAGCCCACAATGTCTGCTTTGAACTGAAATATCTGAGTCCACGCTGCTATATATTCCAATTCTAAGCAGATATTGTGGGATTTTCTGACTTGATATTCTGGGGCCCCTTCCACACAGCTGAATAAAATCCCACATTTGCTTTGAACTGGAATATATGGCAATGTGAACTCAGATAGCTCAGGGCTCTTCTATACAGCTTTTAGACCCAGAATATCAAGGCAGGGTTGATCAGAGAGAGGGAAGGAGTGTCCGGAGGTATGAAAGGAGCAGAAATAAAATAAATAGGAAGGAGGCTCATGGACCAGATTTTCATCTCTCGGCCCACTGATGGTCCATGGCCCACAGGTTAAGAACCACTGTCTTAAACCTACACCTGCTGATAGACCTTATAACAGTGGTTCTGTGGGTCCACAGGTGTTTTGGACTACAACTCCCAGAAACTCCAGCCAGTTTATTAGTTGTTAAGACTTCTGGGAGTTAAAGGCCATGACATCTGGGGACCCACGAGTTGAGAACCACTGCTCTATACGATAGCTAGCATCCCCCCCCCCCCCCATGTGCAATGTGTCAATTGCAAGAGTAATAAAGTTGAACACTGAAAGCCACCCACTGTATGGCTATCAGCCTCCTCTCAAAAAACCTAAATCAAGGAAAAGTTTCATGAGAACCACCACTCCTCCAAATGTTCCTCCAGCAATAGCAAGAATATCCCTGTGGGCAGCAAAATCAGGTAATTCTAACTGGATGGCCACCTATGAGGGTCTTCCTCCAGGGGCAAACCAAGAATAGGCAAATTAGAAGTTCCTGAACAGACTCAAAAGTGGAGCTGGCAGATCAAAAGACAACCTGTCAATCTAGAAGATTCCTCCACCTTATGCAATTGTGGAGCAGAACAAATAACGCAGCATCTGTATACTTGCTCATAACACCCTGCCTCATGCAGAGAGGAAGAACTGTTTAAAGCTACAGACAATGTGGTCGCTGTTGTCTGTTTTTGGTCTAAAACTATTTAGCTGCTTATTTTCTCTTTATTTTGTCAAGTTTATACTTATTGATTTATTCAATGCTTTTGGCACAAAATAATAATAATAAAAAGAACTGAAAAAAGAAAACTAAGATCAGGAATTGCAATTATAAGATACCATACATTGTCTTATGTAAAAGTGCCCTTGTTATGTAGTTTTTCAAGAATAAATCGTATTAAACTTATCTTAAACATTTTATACTCGATTCTGTAATAAATCATTCCTTCAATTGTTCCTTTTTTTCCTAGGAAAAATGTCTTTGAGGGGAAAAAGCATTTTTTTTTCATTGACCTTATTTTACTAAGATTATAACCCAAAATAATTTTTAAACTTCCAGATTTATATATCACATTATAGGTAAAATTATAGCAATAGTATATAATAATGAGCAGATATAAGCAAATATACTGTGCATAAAATAAATGTAAATATAAATAAACTGTACCTATCTGCACTACACCCAGCTTTTTGAGACACTTCTAGCACTGTCACTAATACTATATATTTGTCTTCATACAGAAATTCTTTGCAAGCCAGTCCCATTTTTTCTACAAGGTAAACCTATTCCAAAACGAATGCTTCCTTCTGAAGATCTTGTTCGTTACTATACAGATGCTAAGAATCGTGGCTACCTGGCTGATCCATCAAAGGTTCAAGAGGCAAGAGTGGAACTTGCCAAAAAATATGGCTATGTATTACCAGATATTACACAAGATGAACTGTTCCAAATGCTGAGCCGACGCAAGGATCCTAGACAGATTTTCTTTGGCCTTGCTCCAGGATGGGTTGTAAACATGTCAGACAAGAAAATTCTGAAACCAACAGATAAGAACTTGCTAGAATACTACAGTTCATGAGAATTCAAATGGAAGGCGAGTCTTGGAGTTCACGTAAAGTCTTGGTTTATTACATGAACCTATTAATTTTTGCTGTATAACAGAGCTAGGTACAATGCAAATAAACTGTTTAAAATGTTTGTTGTATAAAAGTATGTCTTTTTACCAAAAAGTATTGTACTTAGTTCTTTCTTGAATATCCTAGAATAGGAAGTAAAGATGTTTCTCCAGTCACAGTATTTATGTGGCATGCTTCTCTAAAGACTGCCAAAAAATCCTATCCCGGTTCTTTCCAATATCCCTTTTCTTTTTATATATGCACTAGCTGTGCCCTGCCACGCGTTGCTGTGGCCAACCTTCCCTCCCTCTTTCTCTCCTTCTTTCTCTCTTTCCTTCCTTTCTTCTTTTTCTTTCCCTATGTCTCATCTTTCTTCCATCTCTACCTGTTTCTTTCCTCCCTGCTTCTCTCCTTTCTTCCTTCCCTTTTTCCCTCCTCTCATTACTTCTTGACTGTCCCTTCCATTTAATAAGGAAATGAAGGGGAAGGAAATGAAGAATGGGAAAGAAGGAGGAAAGGAAGGAGGGACAGGAAGGAAGGAAAAAAGGAGGGGGGAAAGAAGGGAAGGAATGGGGAAAAAGGAGGGACATGAAGGGAGGGAGGAGAAGGAAGGTGGAAGGAAGGAGGGGGATGAAGAAAGGAGGGAGGGAAGGAAATAAGGGTGGAAGGAAATGAAAGGGAAAGAAGGAGGAAAGGGAGGGAGGAAAAGAAGGAAATGAAGAAGGAAGGAGGGACAGGAAGGAAGGAAAAGGGGAGGGAGGGAAGGAGGAGAAGGAAGGAAGGAGGAAGAAAGGAGGAGGGAAGGAAAGAAGAGGGAAAGAAGGGAGGAAAGGGAGGAAAAAGAAGGAAGGAAGGAGGAAGGAAGGAAGGAAGGAGGGAAAGAAGGAAAGGAAGGAGAAGGAAGGAAGAAAAGGAAAGAAAGAGAGGAAAGAAGGGAAGGGAGGGAGAGAAGGAAGGTCCTTCATTCAAGCACCGTGGACCTTCCTCCTCCCCCTCCCCCCCTCCCCTTCTTCCTTGCGTGGATGCTCCGTTGCTGCTGCCATTGCTGCTGCTTTCCCAACAGGTAGTGAGGGAGCCTGTGTGTGTGTGTGCCGCGCGGGGGGGGGGTGAGGGTGTGTGTGTGTGTGCCGGAAGGAAGGGGGCATGTCTTACTGGCGTGAATGTGTGTGTGTGTGGCGGAAGGTGTGTGTGGGCGGCGGGGGGAGGAGTGAAGGAGCGTTGTGTGTGTGTGTGTTTGCGACGGGGAGGAGTGAGTCAGGGAGGGAAGGGGTGGGGGGAAAGGAAGGGGGCGTGTCTTACCGGCGTGAGTGTGCTTGGGCCCGCCGCGGCGAAGGGAGGGGGCATGTCTTACCGGCGGAGGGTGGGAGGAGGGAAAGAGTGAGACAGGGAGGGAAGGGGTGGGGGGAAGGGAGGGAGGGGGCGTGTCTTACCGGCGTGAGTGTGTGTGTGTGGCGGCGTGAGCAGGGTAAGATGAAGGAGGGTGAGTTGCGATGGTTTTGACAGGGCGGGAAGCGGCGCGGCGTGAGGATGGGGGCGTGGCTTGCGCGGAGGGAACATTGGCCGCCAGGCCATCTGCGCGTGCCAGGGAACTTGCGGCTGGGTGCCAATGCGCATGCTCAGTTGTTTTGCCGTTTTGTGAGTGTGGTGTTGTGTTGTTTTTGATTTTGATTGGGTTTGTTTGTACCTAGTGGGTTGAGGTATGTGCATGGGAATTTTGGTTAATTTCTGTTGGGGGGTTTTTGAGTTTTGCTTCCTCATACGACGCCACTTCGGATTTTATATATATAGATGAATCATGCTTTCCACAACAAAATAAGGTAATTTTTGTGTACCTTGGATAGGTAAACAAAAATACAGTATGTTTCAAAATTACCCAGTTTCAAAGCAGGATATTGGACGATGGCAACATGTGGTGATTACATATAAAGTTACAAATGGTTCAATGAGTTATGTTTTTCTAACCATTTTGAGCTAGAAACAAATGTTAAAAAAAACCCCTTGTGAATGGGGAATACAGTATCTCATTAGGTCTTACGTTGTAGGGTTGCCATCTTGCAAATAACAGGCTACCTCCTTATTTATAACGCAGGGAGAGGCATTAACAGTACTCCTTAAAATTCTATGCCCGACCCTTTCAAGTGATGCGAGTTTCATCCCTGGGGAGTTTATGGTTGTAGAGATACAGCAATTGCAACTTGGGTCCATCTTTCTGAAGCACCCTTTTTTGAAACCTCCCAAAGCCAGGGATAATATCTTCTTTTAGCACCCCTCCCCCCTCCGAATTTCTTCAGGTTTCTATCATGATAGCCAATGATAGGCTGTGGGACTAAGCCTTTGGATAGTAAATTCAGGGCAATAAGCGATACGGAATAAGTGCAATTATGACCGGAATGGCTCCTGGACTATGATTTTGGATTGTGTGGTTTTAATCATTGGTTTAAATGTGTAGATTTTTTACCTTTATGGTTTTTAATGCATATGTTTATGTGGCATTGAATTGTTGCCTGTTTGTAAGCCTGTCTGAGTCCCCTTGGGGGTGAGAGAGGGCAGGGTATAAATAGAGTAAATAAATAAATACAAAGCCCTAAATAAAAAAACCAAAAGTTTGAAACATGCCATGGACTTAACTGGTAGTTAATGAAGGGATTTATGGGAAGAAGAAACATGTGAATACTTAGGGCGATACTTCCATGCCAAATGAGTATATTTCTTTAGGCAGTAGCATTTGCTAAAAATAAAAGCTCCCTCCTGCCTACCTTTTAACCCATCACATAATGTAAACACAGGTTTCATTTTTTTCAGGGTATCCTGTCCTGTATCCTGATGATTATCAGATTAACAAGTGATACCTGTTGTTGTTACAGTATTGCTGGTTTAATTTGAGGATGCAGAAACATTTATTGCTTTCCCTTATTTGTGCTTCTAGTTTTTTTGGTTTTTTTTTTTAAATAAACCAATTCACAATTATACTCTGTAAATGGAGACATTCAACAGGAAAGCTGTTTCACTGGTAGCTGGGGAGGAAGTTAGTCATCTTAATTAAGACTAGATGACAAAAATGTTACACTATTGGTATATTACAATAGGATTTTCAAAAAGTCTTAAACATGCACTGAATTCTTTTCAATAGGATGAAAAAACAATGTAGTTAAAGATGCTGCCCACAGATTCCTGAAAGACAAAACAGCACAGTTTTGGATAAGATTGCGTTCTGAATCAGGCTCAGGTGAAAAAGAAACTCAGACAAACTCAGACAAAATGATAAAGGCGAAAGAATCAAAACAGGAAACAGATGTCTAGTGACGCGCACACATTGGAGATGACTTGCTTCTCAAGCACCATCTTAGTCACAAAGCAGCTGTATCCTGACACCAATATTGTGGTGGTATCAATACTTTAAGAGCCAAAGCAGCCACGTTCCACAAAGTCAGATCATTTCATTTTAAACAGGCACGCTTACATTCCACTCACAGTCAGAGGAGACATTGTGATAGCCATGTAAAGTTTCTAAAACTGGAATTATAATATCATTGGAACTGCCTCATCCCATTTTTTAGTACACTTCCTACTGTTTTGTAAAATGAGGTGTTTTATTTACTTGTTTAGTCTGATGAGGCTATAGAGGATTTCCTACTCAGTGTTAGTTCAACCACCAACACCTCAGACAACGTAATAATTACCAAAGGCATAAAGACATCAACACAATATTTCCTAACCCTCTCAAATGGCTCTTACTAGAATATAACTATGGCTGAATCTACACTGCCATATAATGCAGTTTGAAACTGATTTATATGGTTAGTGTAGACTCATATAATACAGTTAAATTGCATTATATGGGTGTACAACTGCATTACATGACCATATATTAGGCATATAATACAGTTGCAAACTGCATTATATGGCAGTGTAGATCCAGGCTGCTTATTTAATTTATATCTTCACTTGCTCTCAATATGGTACCCAGGACAGTTCACATTACTAATTAAAATAGTTTAAACAATGGGTAAAGCAAGCATTTAGAAAAAGTAAATTCATCTTCAAGTACAAGAATTTTAAACATTTTAAGCTATTAAAATATGCAGAGGGCAGTCTGGTTTCAGGACACTCTGTGGATACCAAAATCTATGGATACTCAAGTCCCATTATATACAATGGTATAGGAAATTGGTGCCCCTTAAATAAAATGGCAAAATCAAGGTTTGAATTTTGGACATTTAAAAATATTTTTAAACTAGATGGCTGAATCCATGAGTGCTGAGTCTATGGATATGGAGAGCCAACTGTAACAATGATGGCAGAAATACAATACAACACACTCCAATTAAAATTCCTTTGCTATGTATAGTTTACACTCAGAGACCTGGGTAAACAGAAAGGCTTTCCTTTCCTGGCAGAAAGAGAACAGAGTGTGATCCCTAGCTTCCTGTGGTGAGTATTTTTGGCTTGTATTTTGTCTATTCCATAATTCTTTGCCCTTGGGTTCTCTAAGGTCAGGTGGACTGCCAAAATTGGCAAAAATGGGGAGGAGGGGGTTGGGGGTGAAAAGGAGTCAAATTTATTTCTCGTTTTCAAAGAAATAAAATATGCTCAACAGTTTATAGGAGTCTTGAAATTTATTTGAAAAAGAATGGTTGCCCTTGGAATTTTTTTTAAGCCAGAAACAGCATATTTGGTGAGTCTGAAATGCACAAGGGCCACATGACCACCTTCTGCAGTTAGCAACCAAATGAACACTAGGGGGAGATGTTATACTTCAGTTAAGAAGTTGATTTTTTCTTAAACTTTTTTTGTCCTAATCATCCTGGCAGGCACTAATTAAAAACAAGCATTGCAAACCTATCCACTGTGTCTGGATGAAAGCAGATTCATAATATGTTCAATTATCTTAAACTTAGGCACCCTAATTTGCATTTTCTTAAACATTTGGGCCTATTCGGAATTTGAAGTCTGGGTGAAGCCATTTGTGGATGTGAAATTTTAACTCCATGGCCCTGCTTTCAGTATACAATTTCAACACTCCTCTGAGTGCTAAAGTTAAAAAGTGGGGGCTTTCTGTGTATGCTTGTTTGTTTTTATTAA